AGCCCATTATTGCTCCTTCAAGGTTAAATTCACACTATGTTTGGCCTAAGGTGTGGCTATTGTGTGCCTTGCCATGACAACAGGATATTTGACCTAAAGTGTAGCTAATGGATGTTTCAACTTGGTAGCAGGAATATTTGGTTTAGGGTGTGGTTACTTGATGTTCTGGGAATTGAGAAGGTAATTAGGCTTGCTTGTTCTTTGTATATTGGTAAGGATGCCTTTTGCCTTCCCTCCCTCTTGATTGGGGTATAGAAAAGCTTTGAATAATGCTGATCCTAATATTCACTGGATGCCTTCCTAACTCTATCTCTTTTTCGTGTCTAATTCTTTCCTTAATCCACACTCCTTCTAAGGATGGACTGGACTAGCCAGCAGGATGGGACAGATGGATCCCACCTTCGGGCAGCCACTAGCGCCCCCCCCCCCACTTTGTGAATCCTTCCCAAAGACCTCAGCCCATCCTTCCTGACCATGCTGGCCCTTGGCATCCTGTGTCCTCAGGATCCAAGAGCCTTGGCTGGCTGTGACCCTCCTTGAGCACTCAGCACATGCTATTGTAGTCCAAAGACTCCAAGCAGTGGAGAGCACAGGACACCCCAGTGTCCACAGTCATTCAGGGAGCTGATCTGGATGTAGAATCCGAGGGCTTCGGGATATCAGAGATGATAGGGCCACTGGAGATCACCCAAATCTAATGTCCTCATCTGAAACTTAGACATACTGTGGCAGGGGCTCCCCAGGACCAGACTTGGAATGTTAGAGAAAAGGGCCAGAAGCCCAATCTGTGGACCAGTCCATAGGCCAAGTCATGTCCCTGTCAGATCTTGTTGTGCCTGTGATGTCAAGCTGCTGGGAATGGTGGTAAGCATGATGAGTCATAGATGGGGATCAGAGGGAAATGTGGGGAAGAGCTAATCCGCTCCTCAAGAAGGTGTGGCTCCCTACAGCTTGGGGACAGTCATTATTCTTGTCTGTTGAGCTGCATGTCTCCACTAGATGGAGTTGGGCAGTATGTCTCCTGTGGCAATATGTACCATGGGGCAAAGGCACTGGGCAGGCAGCAGCTGGACAGTTAGAGTCCTGAGTATTGCTTTTTCTTTTTCCTTTCTGGATAGGGTCTCATGTAGCCCAGGCTAGGCTCAAACTCACTGCGGAGAGGAAGATGACCTGGAATTTCTGACTTCCTGCCTCCACTCTCCCAAGTGCTAGGATTCCAGGCATGCACCAACAAGATTGGGTTTAGACATTTCTGGGGCCGGAACCTAGGACTTTGCACAAGCTAGACTACAACTCTACAACTGAGCTACGTTCACACACTCAGAATGACCTTTTCCTGCAGGCTTCTACAGTGCCCCCTGCAACCACACGCACCCTTCTCCTGATTGTGTCCATCTTCTTGAGTCACGGCACTCAACACAATTAAGATCCAAGTGGAGCCGCTAGGGTAAGGGTGGGGGCTGGGGTGCAGTTCAATGCCTGAAGGAGATAAGGGGGTTCCTGGCTGAGGGGCACAGGGGGTCCAGTGATGTGGAAAGATGGTGTGTTTATGCACACAGGCCTGTGAACCCCTGGCCAGGAAGGTGGAGACTTCACAGCTAGGCTTGAAGTGACGTGTGTGCCCACCTTAGTAACAGTGATGGCATTCCTGTTTCCTGCCACTGTTGTTTCCTTTGCTCGTATTTTTCTTTGGTTTTCTTTATGCCAGGCTGGGGATTGTACCCCGGGCCTCTCAAGTGCCAGGCAATGTTCTACCATTGAGCTACAGTCTGGACTTGACTGTAACCCATGCCAGCCTCAATTTCTCTATCCTTGGGCCTCCCTAGTGCTGTGACCAGTGCCAGGCATTCTCTATCACGGTGGGTGACTGGAATTCTCTAGGGGTTAAGTGGGTGAAAAGCACAGGTTTGGAACAGGAGAGATTTCCCACTGTCCCCAGAAGACTCAGTTGATGTGGGTCTTGGCTGTTCCTGTGTGTGGTGTGTGTGTGTGTGTGTGTGTGTGTGTGTGTGTGTGTGTGTGTGTGTGGTTTCACTCTTATTCTGACGATGTCATCACTGAGTTGTGACTACATCTTGCCAGCAGCCTTTTAGAGACCCTGGTGGCACTCTGAGTTCCCAGGGCCTCACTCAAGAGTGGGGAAATTGGCCCAGGAGCTGGGGGACATCCAAGTCGGGGTGAGGACCAGTTTCAATAAACACAACTTGAGACAGGCTGTGTGACTTTGGAGGGCCAGGCATTTTTGCCTATGTGGATTCCTTCCTCCATTAAAATGTAGGACATCCTATTTTGTGGCTGCTGGTAGAAAGACAGATGTGTTGCTGGCAGGAGTCTGAATGTGAAGACAGTGACATTAAAATGTATTTGGAGTTCATGTAACTGGGTAGGATGAGGAAGATGCTGGAGTGGGGGCCATGGTGCCATCCTGAAAGGGCTCATGGTTTGGGCCTGGCTTGGGTGGCTGCATGCTTCTTCCTCACAAGGAGGGGACAGGCAAATGCTACTCATGTCCACTGGGATTCACACCAGTCAGCAGCTTCCTTTTTCAGACGAGGAAGCCAGTATCCAGAAGGAAGCTGGTACCCAAGAAGGGAGGTCTGATTTCTAGTCTACTGAATGTTGCAGGTGACCCCTGAGTTCCTATGCAGAACTGGAGTCTGGGCAGCATGATTCCATTGTATGTGATGGTTAATGATTGTGAGCTCACCCTCACACATGGCAGGTTCTTAGGAATGTGGAGGATGGAGTGTGTGTGTGTGTGTGTGTGTGTGTGTGTGTGTGTGTGTGGTGGGGCAGTCCCCATTAACAGTGGCTGTATAGAGGAAATGTGAAATGAAAATAGGTCTGGAAAGGGAGGTATTGAAATTCCCAGAATCCTGTACTGTTTTCAGGTCCCAAGGGCATGCTAAACAGCTAACAGTAATCCAGCAGTCTACACCACTACATCCTAGTAATACTGACCTGGTCATCAACAGAAGTTTCCTATGGGAAGATTGCTAAGTGGTTAGAGCATTTGCTGAGCAAATATGAGGACCTGAATTCAGGTCCCCAGAACCCACATAAATGGTCCCAGACTCAGAAGGCAGGAGCACGACATGCCCCAGAGCAATCTAGCTACTGAAACCAGTCATACTGGCAAGATCTGGGTTTGACTGAGAGACCCTGCCTTTGAATAAGATGGAGAGGGATGGAGGGTGACCCCTGACATCAACCTGGAGCCTCCACATGCCCACACACCTACATGCACAGGTGTGCCCACACACATGCAAACATGCACACACACCACACACAGCCATGACAGTAGAAAAAAATAAAGAAGGGATTTCCTGAAACCTTCACCAAGCAGGCACTGTGACAGAATTAACAATACAACCTTTTTTTCTCTGCCTTTCTTTTTCTTTTGGAAACAAGGTTTTCCTGTGCGGCCCAAGCTAGCCTCAGATTTGTGATCCTTCTGCTTCAGCCTCTGGACAGCTTTATTTGTGTGTAAGAATAAGTGTGGCACCAGAAGACAACCTCAGGCACTGATCCTCAGAACCCACCCACCTTGTTTCTTGAGACAGAGTCTTTCTCAGCCTGAAGCTTCTGATTAGGCTAAGCTAGCTGTTGGCTAGCAAGGCTGGAGGAATCTACCTTCTGGGCACTGGGATTCCAAGTATGTGTACCCACATTTAGCCTTTGCCCATGGGTTTGGAGGACTGAACCCAGGTCCTCAGTCCCATGCAGCAGGCATGTTGCTGACTGCCTCACTTTTCCAGCACAACTTCATTTCTTAAATAAATAAATATGTGTGTGTGTGTGTAAACACTCTTTTATGTGTACTCATGCTTTGCCTACACGTATGTATGTGGACCATATGCACACTTAGTGCCTGCAGAGGTCAGAGGAGGGCATCAGATCCCTTAGAACTGGAGTTACAGATGGTTGCACACCCTGAGGGCGCTGGGAATCAAACCCTGGTCCTCTGCAAGAGCAGCCAGTGCTCTGAGCCACCCAGTCATCTCTCCAGCCCCACAACAACTCTATTTCCTATAAAATAACACAACTTGAGGTTTGTCACATATGGCTGAGCTCTAGTGGGTGTGGTGGTGGGGGCGATGCTTTTGCTGGAGTAGATTGGCTCCTCCAGCCAGCTGCATTGGACCTGCAGATTTCTATGAAGCTCTGTAGTAGCTGTTATTAGTGACAGTTCCTCATAAGGAGCTACAGAAGTTTGAGAAATGAGACTAGACCCTTGGACTCCAGTTGGTGGCACTGTTTGGAGAGGCTAATGGAGCCTTTAGGGGGTAGAGCCTTGCTGAGGGAAGTCCCTCCCTGGAGGTGGGCTTTGAGGTTTTATAGCTGGCCCCACTTCCTGTTCTCCTTCTCGGGTTCCTGTGTGTGGATGAGATGCCAACAGCCAGCTTCTTGCTCCTGTCGCCATGCCTTCTCTAGAATGATAGACACTACCCCTGTGGGACTGTGAGCCAAAAGCAACCCTAAGCTGCTCTAGGTTGCTTTCGGTAATATTTTATCACAGCAACAGAAATAGTAACTGATACAGAGGGCAAAGAAACTGAAACAAACAAAAGCCCTACCCAAACCCCGAAGCAATATTTAAGTCCCCTTTGCAGCCCTGTGGGTCCACGATATTGCTGAACCCTCAATGCTCATGTGATGAATTTGGGATATGACACAAGGAACATCCCCTTAATGAGTCCCTACCCTCCTTTTGTTGAAGCTAACATTTCCCAATATTGTTCCACACTTTTGAGGGCTCCTGCTTTTGAGACTTCCTGCTTGCACAAGACAGAATGGAGTTAATTTAGAGATTAAACAGGATCATAAATTGCCACATTTCACTTTTTTCTTTTTAATAATGAAAGTCACTTAGAGTTTAAAGTATTGCCAGACACATCTAGTCTGGTGAACATCATGGATCTCCACATTTCTGTGAGTTCACACATAAGTTTGCCACACCTCTGTGCTGGCAGACCCCCTTTGGCACTGGAACATAATAATTTATTAAGCTGTGATGTTTAATAAGTGTGCACAAATATCATGCAACATTAGGAGCAGACTCACAGACAGAGTGTATTAGATTTATACAAAAATGTCTTGTAAACAAAAGGGAAAGGGGTTATTTTCTGTACAAAATATGCAGGTTTTCCTCTTTTCTTTTTTAATGATCTGTAAGATGCATCATACTTTGGGCATTTTCAAAAAGTGAAAACTGTATAAAAATAAATATCCTATGTACAAACACACACAGGCCAATCCGAGGTTAGAGGCATCACTGCAAAACAAAACCAGAACAATGGAGAGTTAGTTTCAGGGAGCCTGGATGCTCACTCCTCAGGGCAAAAGGGGGTGGGTTTGTCTTTGATTGCATCAGAACCTGTGATAGGGAAGTGTGGGACCTTAATCCCCCTAGGGAAAGAACCTTATGTGGACATTCCCACTCCCAGGATAGGAAATCCAAATTTAACCTTTTAGCTACTCCCAATGTGGCCACTAGAGGGCAGTCTCTTTATGCTGTCTTGTAAACCATGCTATGCACTACATTTGCCCAGAAGTCACTTCTGGAATGAACCAGCAGACCTGGGCTTCTTTAGTTGCTTTTCCAACACAGTATAGCTCTGGGCAGCAGCTGTGGTTCCTTGCTAAGCACAACATGTTCCATGTTCTGCCCACCAGCAACAACCTTGGAGGAGAGAATCTCTGGGGACCCAGGAAAGTCTTATTTAATGGTCCTCCGACAAGTCCTGGATGAGGCTCTCAGTGAAGTGCAGATTCTTGGGGTGGGGGGAGGCACTGCCCCCTCAATGTTCTTCCTTTCTATGAACTTCTCCTCTCTATGCCTTGTGAGAACTTTAGGAACCCATGTGTTTAGTTTACATCTGATTCCTTGTTTGTCTACCTACTTTTTCTAGTCCTGTCAATTAGATTTTGAGGTTCGGGGTTCAGGGTGCCGAGTGAACTCATTGTACAATTCTGAGTTACAGGCACAGGGCTGGACTAAAGCTAAATTTTTGAGTATGGGGTCCTGAATCTTACTATGAGGACATACTGGTAGCTTTAGATGATAGTGGGGGGGTTCTGAGAAGATGCTGAGGGGGAAGTGAGGTACAGGGAGATGGCTGTCTACCTGCTGCAGACCTTGTGAGGACAGAGATAGGCTTCTGCCCTGAGGCTGGGGAATCCTGTGACTTGGGAGCTGTGGTTGAGAGGGCTGGCCTTGTGGCATTTGGCTGACTGTTTTAATGATGGCAAATGACAGTGGCATTGTGAATCTGGTGGTATCTCAGTATTTGGGATACCCTAACCTCCTAGGTGGGTAGGTGCTTATGTATCACCATGCAGGATTTATGCAGTGCTGAGGATCAGACTCATGGCTTTGTGCATGCTAAGCAAACATTTTTATCAACTGATCTACATGTTTGGTCCCTTAAGATGTCTCTAAGTGTTCCTCCAAGTGTGCAGTGAATGGCTGTGTAATGAGAACACTCTCCCCTGATGAGCGGATGTATAATGGGGACCCCCTCTTCCCTGCCACCCACTGGCCACTGGTGAGGTAGCACCTTTTTTTTTTTTTTTTTTTTTTGACCCACATCTTGCTGTCTCATCTGCAGAAAAGCAAGATGGAAAACTGCCAGCTTCACGGCACTGTTGGGAAATGGCTGCACCTTTGACCCTGAGCTGCAAGGGCCTCTGTGAATATTACCTTGTTCCAGCAGCCTTGGACTGGTAAGCCATCTTCTCCCTGCAAGGAGGTGGAGAATACTTAGACTCTGGAGGTAGTTAGCTGAGTAGACAGGTAACTATGACACAATCATTTCCATAGCCTAGCTGGGTCATGGCCTACCCCACTGTTGTCTGCTTCCTTTCTTGCTCTGGGTCAGCATCTTAGAAGTGAGTGGGAAGCTTTCAGACACCACTGTTTTCCCTTTGGCTAATGCTGAGTGCAGCTACAGTACAAGGCTAAGAGGGACTTGTGGTGATATACTGTTTATGATCTAATAAAGCCACTGAAGATCAGAATGCAAAGCTGGGTGGGCGTGGCACACACCTTAAATTCCAGGACTTATGAGACAGAGGCAGATGGATCTCTCTGAGTTCAAGGCCACCCTGGGTTACACAAGAGTGGATCAGTCTAAAAGAGAATTAGAGTTCATGCTTTTAATCCCAGCACTAGAGAATATATAAGGAGCTCAGTGCAGTCTCAGAGAGCAGTCTAGGATTGGTGGAGAGCAGTGCAGTCTGGAAATGCAGTCTGAGGTTCAGTAGATTGCTTATCCAGTGTGAGCATTGGTAGAGGTGAGACTCTACTGGCTGGCTGCTTTGCTTTTCTGATCATCAGCTTTAACCCTCGCATCTGTTTCTGGGTTTTCATTATTTGTGTAACAGGGACTGCTGTGGCTGTGGCTGTGGGCTCAGCCTGCATAGATGCTCTTGAATAACACAGAGAACCATCTTTGCTCTGACTTGGAGGAGTGCTGAGAACTCAGGTCACTGGGCCCTTGGGCCTCCTGGTCTTCCTCAGCAAACCTATTCAAGGAAACGGTGTACTGTGGTCCCCAGCCTGCCTGAATTTGGGAAGTGTCATCCAAACGTCTCAGAGAATGATCACTACTGGGTGGGGATGGGGTGGCAAGGGACAGGCAGCCTCAGGGACATTGCAACAGGATCTCGAGAGTCTTCTTGGCCCAGCACCAGACACTTGAATCTGGAGGGAGATGGAGCATTGGGATGGGAAGTGACTGTACGCGGTCTGAGGCAAGGCAGCAGCTTCAGGATGCTGTGCCCATGCCGGGGATCTTCACAAGGCTTCTTGGACCTAACATTCTGGCTTCTCTGGTATACCCTGAGGCAATCCTGGGATCTTCCAGAGGTTAGGTTTGGCGGAGGGTCAGGGGGAACCAAGAGTAGAGGTCGGGGTCTCAGTCTAGGTCTAGTGGGAGGGCAGCTCCATCTTAGAACTGCAGTCCCTAGGGTCTCCTCCACCCACTTCAGCAGAGAAACTCCCAATCACCATGCATACTGAGGTGTTGCCCCAGTCCAAGTAAACCTAGCACACACTCAAGTCATGTCAATAGCTCCTGTAGCCATTCCTGCCAACCCATGTCAAAGGAGGCATCATTATGGGATGTTTTTTGGAAAAGACATCATTTTGAATGGTCAAATAATGTTTCTCCTCTGGGCTTGGAAGAGGACTTGCAGGAGGTGGTGCATTTCAGTTTCATGGTGGCTTTTTGTCCCCTTCACAGTCTATCACACCATGCCAAGTCACCCACTGCCACAGTGCAGCACTCTGCACACAAATTCTGGAACGGAGTGGGCCTTTGAGGGACACAGTGGCATTTCCATCTGGACATGGATGGTGGCAGGGCACACTGGAAGAGCAGGCAGAGAGCGGGAGGGCCAAGGTGCAGAGTGCTCAGGGGTGTGTGTGTGTGTGTGTGTGTGTGTGTGTGTGAGACTGGCCCAGGAAAGACCCGGTGTTAATTAATAGAAGAGCTTTGGAAGTCATGGTTGAGAAAGGCACCCATGCATGCTGCATGCTAGGGATGGCACGCGGGGGGGGGGCAGTCATGTTAGGAGGAGGCTTGCTACTGTGTGTGCTTGACCTGTGCCGGCTGGCTTTGCATTTATGTTCTAAAACTTCTCTGGTGCCCTTCAAGTAACTCTATGATCATCCATGCTTTCTAACGCCATTTTTCATTCAAGGAGGATCCAAGCTAGGAATTTTTGGCAGGGAATTCTGAGGTGACAGCAGCTTCAGAATCTCCTGGGGAAATGGAAGGTAAGCAAGAATGCCTAGACTTGTGCCTGTAGGGTCAGGATTTGCCTTCCAGTTGTTTTACAATTAGTTAAGAAGGTCATACAGACACGCGATAAGTTACCGTCTGGAGTAAGACTGGGCCTGGAAGAAACCAGCTCCTGAGTTTCAGCTCCAGGCATGTTCAGGGGTGACTGGCCACCACATATCTCCTAACTACATTCTAGACCTTTCCATTTCTTTTCCTAGTGAGATACCTAAAGACAAAGGACAGAGACACCAAAGGAGAGTCTTCTGGGTCTTTAGCATCTGTGGCCATACTCTAGTTCTGATGCTGTCACCTGTGCCGTGACCCAGGATCCAGTCTGGAAGAATGGGATAGGGTGACCCTTAGCTCCACCTTAATTATAGAATGTCTCTGTCTGGAAGCATGCCCCATGTCCCTTGACAAACTGGGGAAGGGGTGGATTTGTATCTGGGCTTGGTTGGCAGGGTGACTGGCAGCTCACTCTGTGTTTGGCTAGTTTGCTCAGCTTGTGTTAAGTGCACGGTGTGGAGGCAAAACAATGAGTGTTAAAATTCTGCCCAATGGCTGGGCGGTGGTGGTCTCAACTTTATACCCCAGCACTCCGGAGGCAGAGGCAGGTGGATCTCTGTGAGTTTGAGGTCAACCTGGGTACAGAGTGAGTTCCAGGACAGGCTCCAAAGCTACACAGAGAAACCCTGTATTGAAAAAACCAAAAAGAGAGAGAGAAAAAAAATCCTGCCTAATGAATTTGCTGCCCTAGCTTCCACAATGGTCTAGATGCAATCAGGCAATAAGGATTAGATGAAGCTAAGATTGACTTTGCAGGGGGCTGGTTGATGGTGTATGTGTGTGTTGGGGTGGGTAGTGCTTCAGAAGTATTTGCAGGAGAAAGCTAAGAAAACACCTGGCCGAGTCACATGCAAGAGGGTGACATGCTTGGGAGCTTCTAAAGCTTTAGGCGGCATGACTCTTAGTGTCTACATAATGAAGAAACAGTAAGCAGGAGCTGGGAGAGTATAGCAAGAGGATCAGGCGGCACACGGGTACACACCACACGCGTGGGGTAGCCCAAATTGGCCACGCAGGCAAGGAAGGGAAGTGCCATACCAGTGGGCATGGGGCATCCAGTCCGTCCAGCCCTGGTAGCCCCGGCTCCCCTTTCTCTCCTTTAAAACCTCGGTGGCCCTGTTCATAAAATCAACCATGATGATTACTGAGGTCCAAGCCAACCATCTCCAGGTGGGGAGCGGAAAGGCCCCGTCCTACCCTGTCCAGGATGCAGACCCTGATATATTCAGACACCTACATAATAAGGGGAAGTGCACCGAGGGAACACTCTCTTCAGCACTGAGACCCCCTACATGGTACAATCACAGACAATCTCCCCTTGAGAGCATCGAGGCTTTTAGAAACTTCCGGAGCTCTGAAAGATGGTCATTTGAGTAGCCAGTCCAATGAGCCACAATCATTATTAATTGCTGGCTTGTTGAGAAGGCTGCTTGTGGCTATCTACCAATTTTGGTGTGCAGTTCTCCTGAGTCTTATCTGGGCTACTGGGCAGTGCCTGAAAAGCCCCTGTTCTGCCCAGCATGGACTCTCAATGGCCCTCAGGAGACTCAGTCTGGGGTCTTGCATGCTGACAGAGTGAGATCTCAGACAGCTAGAGCTGCAAGCCACAGAGGTGGCCATGACACAAAGGATGCAAATCCTGTGCCATAAACACCACTAGGGCTTGCAAAGCACGGCTGGGGACAGAGTCCTTTTTCCCAAACCCTGTGGGTTCTCTCCTTCCATCCATCCATTGTTCTGAATCTTCAAAGGAGAGCAACTCAAAGGCAAGGGACTTAGCAGAATGGCTTGCAGCTGTGGCTGTGAGGCCCACCCTCTGCAGGCAGGACTGCCAAGGCACAGACAGGCTTGGTGGCATCTGCAGAGCCCTGCTCCTCAGTGCATTTGCTTCCTTTGTTCCCAACCCGAAACCCTGTGGAAAAAAACTCAGAACCATGCAAACGAGAAACAAAAACATACCAGCGGGCAGGGGGCGTCTAGTCCAGGTGCTCCTTGGTCCCCTTTATCCCCTTTAGGCCCTCTAGAGCCTTTCTTCCCCCTTTCCCCCTGTAAGCAATGGTTTAGTCCAAGGTAAGGTGGGGGAGAAACAATACACATCTTCAAAACTTTAGGATCCTGCACATGTTAGAGATGGACAATTAAAGGATAGAGGGGGAAGTAGCTTTTCTTAATTAAGTTAGCATCTTGGTAGGACTATGGGGCATACCCACCTCCCAACTCTAAGCACCTAAGATTTTGGCAAAGAAGAGAAGGTAAGGAGAGGGAGGAGACAGAGGTGAGAGCAGGGGCATCTTTGAGCTGAAGTGGAAGGAAGAGCCCGCTGAAGACGGTGGTACCACATTTTGCTGAAGCCCTGCAAAGGATGATGGGTGGGAGGCACCTTCTATCTCTTTAAAGATTTAATCTTGAAGGCTTTGGACTGACAACCTTATTCCAGCTAAAGCTTATTTTCTTTTAAAACAGGTCTCTCTCTCTCTCTCTCTCTCTGTGTGTGTGCATTTGAGTGCAGGTGTCCACAGAATCCAGAGGTGTCAGAGCCTCCTGGAACTGGGGTGACAGGTGGTTTTGGTCTGTTCCCTGTGGGTGCTGGGAATCAAACTTGGGTCCTCTGTAAAAGCAGTATACATTCTTAACACCTAGCCGTCTCTCTAGGCCCTCTTGTCCCAGTTAGTTCTTTCCCCTTTGATGTTCCCTTGGGAAGCAAGATGACTTTGTTGAGAGTCCTGGCATGTGTACATGCATGCATGATTGCAGCCTGTACACGTGTGCAGGATGGTGAGTGTGGTGTATGTGCGTGCTTTGTCATGTATATATTTTCAGGTTGATCCTCCCTTATGTGTCTCTGGCTCTCATCATCACTACTCAAAATTGTACTGCTGGGCTGACATGCTAGTCCAGCAGGCAAAGATACTTGCCACTTAGCCTAAAAACCTGAGTTCATCCCCAACAGGGTAGGAGAGAAATAACTCCCATGGGTTATCTTCTGACCTCAACAAGTGCACAGTGGCATACTTCATTATAGATGTCTCAGGAGTTCATTTCCTTCTGAAAAGCTTCTGCAATCCTCCTAATTGAACCTCTGTTTTATGTCTTGGGGTTCATCTAAAGAAGGGCTCTGGGGCATTTCTCTTAAGTCACGGAAATGAATTTGCAGCTAAATTTTCCTATGCTCAGTCCTTTAAAATGGGCCATGGATGTCCCTGAGGTGCCTTCTGGGACACTCTCCTCTGTGGAAGGTGTGTTATCTCATGCCCAGAGACTTGTATATCGCTGCTCCATTGTGGCAAGACCAAAGGCACAGTCACTAACTTTAACTGCCAGTTACTAAGTTTAACTGCTCTGAGCTTCAGGTTTTTTTTTTCCATCTGTAAAATGGGTATATTACACTCGCTTCCAAAATTAGTGTGTGACCTGTGTACAAGAAATGCTCACTGGTGGATTGCTGTATTACTCAGTAAGGGAGTGTGGACCAGCCGAGTCACTCGCTGTTTGGAATGGAAGACCTAGCTAAGTGTCCTCAGGGGTGTGGCCCTTGCTCTCTGAGTCATAAGTACAGTTTCCTAATGAAGGGGACAGGCAGGGTTGCTGGGAGGTTGGTTGGTTCCAGGACTTAGTGGATTTACCTACAGGTCACTGTGTGGCCACCCACACTATGGGTGTTTTGGAAGACTCTGGAGCTACTGCTTTACCTACATGTCCCCTACTGCCCACTTCAGAGTGGGACATACAAGAGGTGCCCCCATCCCCAGCTCCATCCAGCAGGTGAGAAGGGAGGGACAGATGTGACCCACCGAGGTCCCTTATATATTCCTGACAAATGTGGAAAACTGACTTCAGGAGACACAAACCAGGAGGTGGAGGCAGGGTGAGAGGTTGGGGTTTCAGTGGGTGCACATATTGTGGGAAAGACAGAGAAATAAAAGGAGGAGGCTGGACTGGGCCAGAGAGACTGAAGGGGAAGGAAAGAGGGACAGAAGGGCTCAGGAAGCGAGATATGCACAGGCCCCCTAGACATGCCCCAACCCCCAGGCCTGCATGGTGGCATGCTTGGACCTTTTCCGCTGGCAGGCTTGCAGGCAACTCTATGGCAACAACCAATCAGCCAATGTCCTGATAATTACATTGCCAGAGTAATGATACCCTTACTCTTTGGCCCGTTTGTTGTTGTTTCCATCAGTGTTCTCCTCTAACCCAGACTAGCCTCACACTTGATTATGGTTGAGGCCTTCCACCTCTGCCTCCCAAACCCAGGGTTACAGGCCTGAGGCACCACGTCTGGCTTTGTTTGACCAGTGTTTCTGTTGTGAACATGAACCCTGGGCCAAATTCACTGGGTCACTTAGAGACAAGTGGGGCATGGGTGGGAGAAGGGTACCTGCAGAGACAAGAGTGGAGTGCCCTCTCAATGTCCTTGCGTGTCCTTAGCAAGCGTGTGTGTGTGTGTGTGTGTGTGTGTGTGTGTGTGTGTGTGTGTGTGTACGAGCACGCACACGCGCGGCTTGTGGGAGTCAGTTATTTCCTTCTACACATGGGAACTGAACTCAGATTGTCAGGCTTGGTGGCAAGCACCTTTGCCTGTGAGGCCATGTTGCCAGCCCAACTGTATAATTTTAAGGTTGCGTCTTGGCTTGGGTGAGGTAGAACAGAGTTCCAGTCATCCCCCAGGTGTGAGGAAAGCAAAGTTTGATGAGGGTACATTTTGAGGGATGCCTGTGAGAGCTACTCTTCAAAACTCAGGTTAACACTGAGTGTCTCCAGAGTCACCTTCCTAGGGAAGCAACATTGACAGTTTGAACCAGAACCTTGTCCCTCTGACATGTCACCTGGATCAATATCCTTTATCTCCCTCTAGGCCTCATTAGTGCTGGTGGCTTAGACACTTGAAAGAGGTGGCCAGCTTCAGCGTGTCTTTTTTTTTCATTTAGCATCCTGAGAGCTGACTCTTCTAGGTGAGAAAAATTAGTTGTACCTTGATTTAAAACCTGTTGAATGGAAACCAGGTGTTGGTGGCACATACCTTTAATCCCAGCACTCGGGAGGCAGAGGCAGGTGAATCTCTGTGAGTTTGAGGCCAGCCTGGTCTACAGAGAGAGTTCCAGAATAGGCTCCAAAACTACACAGAGAAACCTTGTCCCGAAAAACCAAACCAAAAAAAAAAAAAAAAAACAAAAAAACCACCACCACTACCACCACCAAAAAACAAATAAATAAAAGAAACCTGCTGTTTGGGATTCATCTGGACCTCCATAATGTACCACACTGCTTTCTGAACATGACTCCCTTCCTTCCTTGCTTGCTTTCTTTCTTCCTTTCTTTTTTTCTTCCTTCCTTTCTTCCTTCCTTCCCCCTCTTTCCCTCCCTCCTTTCCCCCTTCCTTTAAAGATTTATTTATTTATTATATATATATAGTGTTCTGCCTGCACGCCAGAAGGCAGCACCAGATTCCATTATAGGTGGTTGTGAGTCACCATGTAGGTCCTGGGAATTGAATTCAGGACTTTTGGAAGAATAGCCAGTGCTCTTAACCTCTGAGCCATCTCTCCAGCTCCCTGAACATGACTTTCTTTTTCATGGATTTCTGAGGTAAGATCCCAGGTGGGCCTTAGGGGGTATGTAGCAGCGTCAGCCCTGACTTCCCGATCCTCCTGCCTTGTACCTCCTAAGTGCTGAGATTACAGGCATGTGCCACCTGCTAAGCTTTATGCAGAGTTAACCTGGAACTCAGGGCTTTAAGTGAACAATTCTATCAACTAAGTTATACCCCCACCCCCTGACTGACTCCAATGAAGAGACATATTCTAATTTATATATAGGATGGGGAACGCTATCAGAGTGAAGGGAAATAGAGAAGCAAGATTTCCCCCCACAATTTCTGGGGCTTCCACTGATGATGGTTTAGCATCATAGACCCAGGCTGGTCCATTTTCTCATCCTCCCCCATCTGTGACACGGGTACCTCACTGGTCCTGACCCCCCACTATGGCAGAAACATTACCTTCATTTTAAGTGACTCAGTGCCTGCAGCCAACGGAAAAAGTCTTAAGAAATAGGCTTGAAAATGTTAATTGAGTGTAATAAAGAAAAACAGAACATATTAGAAATGAGTTAGGAAGGTTTGGATGCCAATGAAGAAATGGAATGATCAGGTTTTCTGGAGACTCAGAGACCAGCCACATGGCTGAAAGTGGGTCGGTCAGTTTGTTGCAGTGGATTTCCATGTGGTCTTGCTATAGACAGTTTGGTAGGGGTGGCTCTGCCTCCTCTCACTTGTTCATAGGTGTTTGGGAACAAGTTGAGTTGCTTTTGTGTGGCTGCCAGTAAGGAGACTTTAGGGGTTTAGAAGTGCCCAGTAAGTACTTCTTAAATTGAGGAGGATGGATTTAACTGGGGCTAGGATTCTGACAGTTCTATTCCTGAAGATAAGATCAGCGGTCCAAGATTGGTCAGGTTCTGGAATCCACGTGCTCTGCCTCTGTCTGGGGTGGGGTGAAGGGTAGGGATGGGGGGTAGGGATGGGGGAGGCGATTCAATTTAGCCTATTTCAGTGTTCTGGACAGTTGGTTCTTTGTGTGTTCCTCCCATTCCTTGGCATGTAAGGTCCATGAGCTTTACAGCCTGGTAGAAGATGCCTTGGTCCTCAGGGGAGTGTGTACATGGCACACTGATGGGCACTAGAGGAGGTGATGGAGAGGGCTATCTCTTGCATAGATGTAGTTAGATTATTGCTGCTGTGCCCAAATACTCAAGGCTATGGCCATTATGTGCCCATAGTGCTGGGCACACTTAAGGCATCCTGAAGACAGCAGGAGCCGGGGCGGGGGTGGGTGGGTTGGAGGGTGCAGTTTATTCCATTCCCTGCCAAGTCTCCAAGAGAAATAGTAGCTGGGATACTTTCTTTCTTCCTTTTTTTTCCCAAGGGCTTGGCTGTCTGTTCTCAGAGCTGGAATTTACTTTCTTGGTCACCAGTGAACTGGAATGCTTGGCAAACCTAAGTTTCAGGCAAAGATGAGGTGACAACAGATCTAAAAATATCACTAAGGGGACAGTTATCGAGGCAACATAAAGAGGGTTGGGTGAAAGGCTCCTGTTACTGGATGGACATGCTAATCTGAGGGTTGCTGCGGGATTCATTTAGCCTTCTCTGGAAATGAGGAGAAATACTGACTTCAATGGGAGCACTAGGCCCCCAGGCTTCCTGACTGCATGGCATGGAGCCCTTTGCTAGAAAGCCTCTCAATTTAGGATGATTTATCAGGGAAGACTGTTTGTCCTGTTAGGTCAGGAGTCTCCAATTGATCATTCCATTCCATGATGAAGACATTAGTAACCAGATCCCAAGTGCGAGGGCTCAGACTTACCCGGTTTCCTTTGTCCCCGGGTGGTCCATGTAAACCCTGCATTAAATCAGAGAAATGAAGACATGTTAATGAGAAAACACGAAACGGCCATAAGGTCCTTCCTTCAGGCTCAGCAAACGTCACAGATGCCCAGTTCAGTGGAGATGGGCTTCATGACCCCCACTTTACAGACGAGGAACAGAAAAGCAAGTGCATCAAGCAACTTGACCTAGAGGCATTTATGAGCTAATCCACGGACAAGGTTCTTGGTTTTCTTGCCCTATAGCCCATGTCCCTGTTGGTGATTGTGTTCTTCTGGGATCATTCATGGGGGGAGGGTGGGTTTTATGCTGCATTCGGGTGGGGATTGGGTACTCTGAGATGAATGTTTCCATGGCTGTCCGGCCAGGCCCTTGCTCCACAGCTGCTGAGACCTTCTTTTCAAGGGTACAGCACCCCAAGGGTACGAGTGTTAAGCATCCACTGGACACAGACACACTTGTTTAGTTAGTATCCACAAGAACCTCGGGTGGATGGGGAAACAAAACCCAGGCTCTGTGAGACAGCCACTTGGCTTCTGTAACAAAGCTGCAGGCAAATGCATTGCAGATGGAAGCCAAGCTTAGTCCTCAAGGCTAGCACCCCTTTCCGTGTTGTGGGGGAATCTGGAGCCTAGACAACAGAAATGGTGGCACCTTGGGACCCTGCTGCACAGCACAGGGGCTAAAGTGGAAGGTTCCAGAATGCTCTTACACACGTGAGTTGGTCCCTGTGAAGAGCACCTGTCCCCTGCCATGTCCCACAGGGACTTCTAACTCCATTAACTCTAGGCAGCTTCTTTCAACCCCGGGTATGGGCTCCAGGCTCTGGGCTATGTGTTTTGATCTTGCTTCTAGTTGCAGCAAGAGATGGACAGAGGGAACCCTCCCATCCCTGGAGACTCACAGGAAGCCCTGCAGCTCCCATTGGTCCTGTCATCCCTGGGTCTCCTTTGCTGCCCTGAAAGAGAGAGAGAGATGCCAGTGAATCTTCCATGATGTGGCGACTCCCTTTCCAGGACAGTTTTCTAATTCCCCATGGGGAAGTCCCTCTGGAGTGTGAGAAAACTGAGGCGCGTGTGAGGCAGAGCGTGCTCTAACAACACGTCCACTGTCTCTGGGGCACAGCCTACTTCCTGGAAGGACTAGACAGTAGGAGAAGAACACCACACAGTGGAGCTTTGATTTTGTTTTCCTCTGAAGCCCGTGTCATCATCCTGGAGTGGCTATCCCGGTTTCCCCAGGGGACCAATTGGGTTTCTCTGATCTCAGAGTGGCTTACAGTCTACGTAGAAGCCACCCACTTCCCCACCACAAGCATCTCCTGGGAAGGCAAAGGGCGGAGGGAGAAGGTGTGGACAGAGAACTCCACAGATTCTCCATGGGGGTGGATAGGCATGGAGTCAGCCTACTAAGGATGACGGATCCTGGGTGTACGGGAACCTGGATGGCTGAGAGGAGTAGAGTCCTGCCCCCGCCCCCAACCTGAGTTGATTCTTGTCACTCACATCCCTTTATACCCATTCTGTGAGGGATGGGTTGGGCTTCAAATACCGTGTTACTTGGCAACAGCCACTCAACACTAACGGTGGGAACCCTGCCCAATGCCCTGGCTTTCTGACTTACTGATGTCATCTGGGGGCTTTCTAAATCCCACATGGCCATCTGTCCCACACTGTTTCTCTAAATGAGCATAACAGACCTGCATCCTTGAGAGACTGAACTGTGACAGGTGCCAAGGTAGCAGCGGAGAGAGGGCCTTTTCTATCTCACCTGTCTCCTCACAGCCATTCAGTGGCTTTCTTCTCCCCCAGGCTACTACAGCGATAACCAGAAGTGGATGGAGGAAGGGGTGAGGGTTGAGACCCCAGGGGATGGGTCCCAGGCACAGGGGATGAACAAGCCTGGTGTAACCCTCCTTTCTGGTTTCCCAAGCCCCTACCCTGAGCACTCACCCGCTCTCCTTTTGGTCCGGCTGGGCCTGGAACTCCGATTGGTCCTGGAGTACCCTGGGGAGGTGAAAGAGAGCAGAGATAAAGGGCCAGTTGCTGGACAGAGCCCAGAGAATCCCAGCCAGGACTCGAAGATGTGCAAAGCCTGAGCCCTGGTTTTCAGGATTGGCAAAGCCAGGCTTGTTCAAGGAGGCCATTTTATTGGGCCACGATCCATTTTGGGTTTAAGGGCCTTGATGGAGCACTCCTTCCCCCTCCTCAGAGCCAGATTCATGAATGAGAACCTCTCATATCACAGCCAAGCTTGCCAAGGCTGAGAACAGTAGGACAGTTGCTTGGTTTGCCACCGACAAGAAATGGGGAGGGAGTGACCCGTCCCAGGAGTGGGGGCCTAGGGTCGGCGCCCCTTGCTGTCACAGCTCCACATGCAGCGGGAGGGTCTTCATGCCACAGAGACTGATGCAGAGACACACTCAGGCAGGCCAGGCGTGAGAGGGCCATCCAGCACCCCTCCCCCAACCCTCTGCAGACCCCACAGATCCCCAGGCCTGAGGAACAGGCAAACAGTCACGAGTTAGCGCCCTCCAATGTCAGAACCACACTGGCCTTCAGGAAGTAGGGACAGGTTCTCTCTTAACTTGGGGTCCCAGGGAGCTAGGGGCACGTCAGTACACTGGGGGATTGCTTAGAGAAAGAGCTGGGCCTGCTACAGACTCAGCAAACATTTCAACTAGACCAAGTATCTATTTCACAGCCTCATGTCTATTGGCCCCTCATTATTTATGTGTCTTGCTCAGACCACTCTGGCTCATGGGGCTGGCCTTAGGAGGATGCTGTCTGGTACTCTGAGTGTAGCTGGGAAGGTGGGGCATGAACATATGGGAGAATGCAGATTAGCTACATGGGTAACAACAGAGCCAGGAGAAGTTCTTGGTGTCCTCTGTGCCATAAGGAGGAAGAGGGTAGAGTGCAGAAGACAGTAGAGGCCCCTCAGAGTAGGACTGGAGGCTGGTTCTCTGCCTCCGCAGTTCTCAGACTCACAGTATTGAAAGGGTCCTCAGACTGACCCAGGCTTCAGTTTCCCACCATAAATCTAAAAGGTCAATCAGGGAGTCTCCAAGGCCTCCCCGGATAAATGTGCAAATGCTGGGCCTGACTCCCAACTATCAGCAAGACAGGACACTCTGTGGCTCTTTCATACAAGGAGACAGAATTGGCATTTGGTAGGATGAGGCTCTGATGGGTCACCTTGGGCATCCTACTACCCCTGAAAGCTCCAGGTTCTGTCCCACAACCCTGCCTGTAATCCACATCAGGAACCACCCAGTTTTTTTCACTCCCATACCACACTTCAGCCTATATCACTAACTGTAGCTGGTGATGGACCTTAGCAGGCTAAGACGGACCTTAGATGGCTACCAAGATACAACTGACTGGGTACAAGTGGCTGGGCACACATCCCTGGTATGGCTTCCAAACTGGGAAATCCTATGCCTTAATCCCCAAACTAATGCTTGATGGGCGATGTCATTCTGTAAATATGTTTCTCTTATTGGTTAATGAATAAAGCACAGTTGGCCATTAGGAAAGCAAGATAGGCGGGACAAGGAGACAAGGAGGATTCTGGGAGGTGTAGTAGGAGTCAAGATGTAGGGACTTGAGAGAAGAGGTCCAGACCCTCTCTCCAGTAAGCCAAGACCACATGGAAATATTTAGATTAATAGAAATGAGTTAATATTTAAGACAGAGGTAGCCAATAAGAAACACTAGTAACAGGCCAACAGCTTTATATCTAATACAGCATCTCCCTGTGTTATTGGGGGCTGGCCCTGCTCTGGGTCCAGGTTGGTGGGACCCAAGAGAGCTTCTCATAAAAAATGCTGGCAAGTCCACGGGTGTTCTGTGCGGGTAAAACAGAGGGGTGCTTCCTGTGGCCTTTGAGGACTTGTGTTTGCAGAAGGAATAATGAGAGCTCTTTTCTGGGATCTGGGGAAATGGAGTAGTGGGGAGTCCAGGTCCCTCCCTTGCTCTATTACAGACCCCTTGTTGTGCTTGCAGGGTGGCTTGGGTACAACCCACAGTGAAAGGTGTGGTTAAAACGCACTCACTCACACTCACAGGACACTGAGCTGAGATTGGTCTCTGAGGTCCTACATGCTACTCCCATCCTGACCCTTCTATGCTCGCCAACAAGCTCTCCGGGTGGGGTGAATACTTGTGACTGGAAGGCCCTCAAGGGTAGACAGGAGATGGACAGATTTCACAGTATGACAACAACACAGCGTGAAGGTCACACACAAGACATTTGTGTTTGCTGGGGACACATCTTGGCTCAAGCCCCAGGGTAGGGTTCCCAGGCTGGACTCAGCATCAGGGTCACTGTTGCTAGAGTGACTTCTGCTGTCCCATGCTTTGCATGTCTGGGGTCCTTGAGTGCACACTCACTGTGGCCAAGGGGTCTGAAAGGGCATCTCTGCTGTGGGGGGCAGACAGGACTTTCTGGTGTCTATGGCAGGACAAAGCATGATCGCTGTCTCTGCAGGGGTGGGGTGGGGGAGCAAACAAGGCCACAGCAGGAAAGACAAGAGGGATCATAGGCCAGACAGAGATGGGGCAGGGGAAGGGTGATGGAGAAATGACACTCACCGGTGGCCCAGGCCTGCCGTCCAAACCTGAAGCTCCCTGGACGAAGGGCACAATTTGACCAAAAGGAAGGGAAGGGAGGGAGTGGGAGAGAGAAAAAGGAGACAATGGGGAGGGGAGAGGTGAATAAGCGTGACTCTGGACAGACACAAATGCTATAAACACAATGGGGGTGAGCTTGGGAGGACAGGGGGTGTGTTTACACGGACACCCGGACGCTGACAAGAACACGGAGACATTGAGGGCTGTGGATGGCTGCTGAGCTGAGTGAATCCTGGGGACAGATGCTCTGACATTCCACAGCTCTTGTCCCCCTCTCTCCCTTCACCCCACAGGAGCCCCTCCTCCCAGGTGCTCTGATGCTCAGAGAAGGACACAGAAAGGCATTCCTGGGAGGACATGTGGATCCGGAGCTACACTCCCTCCCCAGGGCAGGCTACATGGAGTTTTTTGGGGAAGGGATGTGATCCCAGCTTCTTTTGTACTCCTATAGAGATAGGTCATTTGCACCTCCTAATCTCAATCTCCCCCTCTCTTTCCCTACCTACAACCCCCCACCGTGTGTGGTGTGTGTGCGCGTGTCTGTGTGTGTGCGTGGTGTGTGTGTGTGTGTGGTGTGTGTGTGTCTATGGTGTGTATGGTGTGTGTGTGTGTGTATGTGTGTGTGAGCCTGTGGTGTGTGTGGTATATGTGTGTGTAGTGTGTGTGTGTGGTGTGTATGTGGTATGTGTGTGTATGTGTGGTGTGTGTGTGTGTGTGGTATATCTGTTGTATGTGTGTGGTGTGTGTGTGTGGTGTGCAGTATGTGTATGTGTGTATGTGTGTGTGAGCCTGTGGTGTGTGTGGTATGTGTGTGTGTGTCTGTGGTGTGTATGTGGTGTATGTGTGTATATGTGGTGTGTGTGGTGTGTGTGGTGGGTGGTGTGTGTGGTGTATGTGTCTGTGGTGTGTGTGTGTATGGTGTGTGTGGTATGTGGTGTGGTGTGGTGTGTGTGGTGTGTGCTGGTGTATGTGTCTGTGGTGTGTGTGGTGGGTGGTGTGTGTGTCTGTGGTGTGTGTTTCTGTGGTGTGTGTGTGTATGGTGTGTGTGGTATGTGGTGTGTGTGTGTGTATGTGTGTGTGTGTGGTGTATGTGTCTGTGGTGTGTGTGGTGGGTGGTGTGTGTGTCTGTGGTGTGTGTTTCTGTGGTGTGTGTGTATGGTGTGTGTGGTATGTGTGTGATATGTGGTGGTGGTGTGTGTGTGTGGTGTGTGTGGTGTATGTGTCTGTGGTGTGTGTGGTGGGTGGTGTGTGTGTCTGTGGTGTGTGTTTCTGTGGTGTGTGTGTTTGTATGGTGTGTGTGGTATGTGTGTGGTATGTGGTGTGTGTGTGTGTATGTGTGTAGGTCAGAGAACAACTTCTTGGAGTTGGATTTTCTTCTTTCACCATGTTGGTTCCAGAAACTGAACTCAGGTTTCAGGGCTCACAGAAAGTAATTTTACCCACTTAACCCTCTTGCTGGCCCCAGCACTCGCTTTTAAACATAAGTAGAAGTAGACTTAGTTCTGCTCCCTCTGGGCAGGCGGAGGTAGCCTGAATGAGGGTCCTGGCAATGGCTGACATTTCTCTGGCCCTTTACAGTTAGACACAGACTTAGTCCATTCTACTTTCAAACAAGTGTCCTTTTACAGACAGAGGCTTTAGAGGCAGCTGGCAGGATCATAGGTCTAAAGCTACAAATTTGTGGTAAATGGGCCTGAAGGTGAGACACTAGTCAGCCTGCATGCGGGGGCCTCATTACTCCCTGCTGGCCAATGAACAAGGACTTGGTGGGAATGGGGCCTTTGTGCTAGCCCCGGGCTCTGAAGTGGTCTCTGGGATTGGCAGGAAGGGACATCTAGTCAGCAAGCATGGAGTTCTTGAAAATGGCTTTTAACTGAGACTCAGAAATGAGCCTCAGTCTCAGGGTAGATGAGGGGAGACCAGGAGATTGAGTGTAAGGAGCTGGTCCTGGGAAAAGGTAGTGGATTGGATGAGGCTGCAAAGCTTCATGCTCAGTGTTAAGACCACCAATTGTGGGACTGACTTTGACCCCAAGTTAGAGCTGAGGTTCCTGACTCTGGCTGCACATGTAGTGTCTTTCCTGGGGTTCTGTTTACAATACAGATATCCAGGTTCCATGCTGGCCCAGTTGCATGACTCTTCAAGAATGGGGGCCCTGGGTCAGGATATGTTTAGAAAGCTCCCAGTAGACTCCACAGTACCCTGGAACCACAGAGAGCTAAATGGAAGTGGGAAGCCAGCAGGATAGGCCTGGAGAGGCTGCTACCTGCTGCCACATGGCTGCTGACACCCAGGTGCAGTCTAGAAGCAGCCTGGGGCATCCATGGGATTTGCAGATGCAATGCCGCTGCCAAGTGCTCTTGAGGGATGTGGGTCAGTCAGAGGGCATGGGCCATAGCACTCAGACCCTTGGTGAGCCACTAGCATCATCCTTCCAGGGCTACAAATGCTAGTGATGTGTTGATCAGAGTATTTATAGGGCCTGTAAAATGCCAGGCATCCAGATGAAGGATTCAAAGGTGCTAGGCTCTCCTCCCTCCAAAGCCAATGTCCAATCATCACCACTCCCTATTTTCTCCCCAAAGGCCTTGTGAACTTCATTCTATGAACAAGCGTGTTGTTTCCTTTTTGTTTGTGTTTTGTAGGTGTGAGCATGGAGCATTGTGTACAGGTGAGGGGTGAGGCCATGCCCGGTGCATGTATGGGTCAGAGGACAACCTCCAGTGTCATTCCTTAGGCACCACCTCCCTCCTTTGGTTTGGGCCTGGAAGCTCTCTACAGAGTCCGGGCTAGCTGGCAATGAGCTTCTGGGGAGCTGTGGCCATTGTTGGAGAGTACAGGCACGCACTGCCACTGCCCAGCTTCTTTTTCTTTTGGTTTTTTGAGACAGGGTTTCTCTGTGTAGCCCTGACTTTCCTAGAACTTACTCTGTAGACCAGGCTGGCCTCGAACTCAGAGATCCACATGCCTCTGCCTCCTAAGTGCTGGGATTAAAGGCGTGAGCTTAACATGGGTTCTCATACTTGCAAGACAAGCACTTGACTGAGGAGTCATCGCCCCAGGCCTTCTGTTGCATTTTGTTTTCAAGCTAAGGAAAGGATTTCTCTGTACATGTGCCTCTACCAGAAACTGTTGGAGAAACAAACATAGAGGGGCTTCTCTGTCACTCATCTGTCACTGTCTTTGTTTACATCACCTGTTGGGTTGCTGGGTTATTGGCATGGGTATCCCTAACTGAAGCCTCTCATGTTCATCGGGGTTTTGGGCTCTATGAAGGTGAACCACAGGTGATCTGTGGTTGAAGGGGTCAGGAAGGTGCTTCTGTGTGTACTTAAGTCATTCCAGACACCACTTCTAAATGGGCAAGCATCTGCTAAAGCCATCACTTTCTTGTGGTCTGCCAAATGAATCAGATCTTTAGCTCTTCCAATGCTTGCTGCACCAGTTGGAGGGAAACAGTCCCTTTGGCCTCTGCTGTGTGTTTGCTATGACTGTACTGGTTTCCCATGGTTCCTCTGCTGTTTACAGCTGCCTGGGGTTAGGGACTGGCTTGTAGCTGGAGACAGAGGAAGCCCCCTGTAGCTTCAATGGAGGAGCATCCTTTGGCTCAGTCTAACCACCAACTTCAACTGTGACCTCAAATGACCATTAGTACAATGACAAGATGATTTGCTCGAGTTCTTTTAGCTCTTGAAAAACAGATTCAGACAGTGACGCATGAAGAGCCACAAAGCCACTGGGAGGGTAGGACAGAGACTCATGCAGTCTGATCTATAGGTCTAGACAAACAGAATCCTGGAACCCATCCTCAGAGGCTGATGAGGGAGTACTCCACCTCTGGAAGGCTAAGAGCACAGGCTGTGCAAGCAGCCTTAGCCTGCTGGGACCATAGAGCTGACTTTATGCATGCCTGTGTGATGTGACTAGTATACAAAAGAAAGGATTTGTGGTCTCCCTTGGGGTCATTTGGGGAAGACACGAGGAGGGAGAATAGCCATTGTCATACTGACCCAAGTCTTCCATGCTTACTCCCTAGGACACACATTTATGGAGTCAAGTCAGGCCCCAGCAGGCCCTGAGTTTGAGCTCAGGCCTTTCTGGTTCTCCATCAGGTTGTTCCTCAGGTGCGGACCCTACCTCAGTTAGCTTCACATTGTTCCAGTACTAAGACTAGGCCCGGGAAGGATGCTGAGGGCCCGAATTCCTTCCCCACTCTGGAAAGGGAGAACCCAACACACTACGATGCTGAGAATTTTAGATGCACAGGCAGAGCAGTGTCCTCCCTGGCCCCTGCCCAGCAGTGAGGCCTGGAGGAGCTACCAAGGGCGGCTCCTCCCAGAAGACTTAGGGCTCCCAGGTACTTACAGGCAGACCCAGAGGCCCCCGGTCTCCTTTTTCTCCCTGGGAACCCTTCTCTCCTTTGGAGCCATCCAGGCCTGCTTCTCCCTGCAGGAAAGGGAGATGGAAAGCAACAATGAAGGGGTCTTCCCGAGACAGCCCAGTCTTGTGCCCTGGGGTCTTGAAGGCTAGGAGTGGCAGTCTTGCCATACTTTAGGTTGAGGGAAAGGTTCGAAGACATAGGGAAAGAGTTTGATCATTTGCTAAGCAAGTCACTTCATGGAGCTCAAGAGGTGGGCAGGGGAAATTCACATCCCAAAGCAGGCCATGTGCCAGTGGTGGACTTCATTCTGCCCCGATGGCCTGGCTGTGCCTATTGGGTGATGCCATTTCGGGAGGTGGATCAGTTAGGTCTCAGAAGCTGACCCTCAGCACCTGTCATGTGACCTTTTCTTACCTTTGGTCCAGGAACACCTTGGAGGCCCTGCATTTGGAATGAGAACAAGAGGCATTAGAACTGCGTGTGTAGGTAACCACAGAAGGGCAAGGTTTGAGGTGTCTAGTTTCAGGTCTCAGATCTTGAGAGGCAGAAGGGAATGTGAAGGCAGTTTAAACATGGGGCTTCCTGGGGTGGAGTTGGAACCATCTGCCTAGCCAGGGACTGACACAAAATCTGTGACCTCCCACAGCTGACCCGGAGTCTCATGAAACTCAGAGAAGGCATCAATAAAAATGAAGTGAATCAAAGTGGGCAAGGCACTTAGTATGTGGGACACAGGAACTTCCACTAAATGGTGATGACTATCAGTACTGTTGCTGGTACGATGGATGACCAAGAATGTTAGGGGCATCATGGAACATGAAGAAGCACAGGTCAACACCTACTCATTTGAGGTACTTGGGGGAACCTCTATTTGCATCCAACTAGACTGGTTTAAATGGGTCACTTTCCTGAAAAGTCATCTTGCTAACTGGAAGGAGGAAAGGGCAAGAACAGACATCAGATAGAATAGGGTTAAACAAATGTCGGGCAGAGCAATGACTGAGCAAGCTTGTGGCTTCCATGCCAGTCAAATATGTCTTCCCAGTGACACATACCAGGGAGCCCATGTTTAAGATGGGAGGGAGGAGGGTTTGTGGAAGTGAAAAGCTCTCCTGTGCTGAAGTTGAGCCCAGTGACTGTCAAGGAAGGGGATATGGTAGGGCCAGCCACAATGGCTGAAATGCTACCAAGTCCTTGGCACTTACCGGAGGTCCTGGAGGCCCCTCTGGCCCTGGTGGCCCAGGAACCTGTAAGCCAAAAGGGAAGCTCTGTTATGCTCTGTTATGGTTCTTGTCTGGTCAGTGTCACACAGGATAGGATAGGAATGCCACTGAAGGTAGAGCCAGTACACAACCTTCCTAAAGGAGACTCAGGACAGGAATGTAGAGCAAACACTTTCATGAAACGGTTCCAGACACCTCCTCCAGGCTGCCCTGAAATATGGCTTAGCTAGCAGTGGGCTCGTGCTGTGTTGTGCATGGCAATCATTGCCCAGGTGGGGCATGATCTCCATTCTGTCCAGATTCCACCCCCTGCTATGTTTAACTCTGGCCTCTTGGCATTCATGTGTTGCCTGGACCTTGTTGACATGTTAGTTTGATCCTTGGCTGAAGGGAGTGGAGACAAGACATCTGAAGCCAAGGGAGGCTGAGATGTTTCTGAAGAATATTCTTCAAGACTAGCTTCACCCCCTGTAATGGGTAGGCCAGGGACAGTTGGTTGTATTTCTTTTGAGGGCAAATGTGGTAAGAGAGATTCAGGCTGGACAGGAAGATTCCAATATTCCTTGGACTGAAGTGTTTCTGCTCAATGTCAATGTCCTTGTTGAGTAGACAGTCTTTGAAAAGTTTCCTGGGCTTGGCTTAATGGTTAGCTTTGTCAGCTTGTCACAACCTAGAAGAGTCTCAGGGATTATTCACTTTGGGTTGACCCATGGCCATGTCTGTGCTAAATTAGTAAGTTAATTGACGTGGGACGAGCCAGCCCACCATGGGCAGCACCACTCCATAGGCTGGGAGGGAGTGAGGGGGGTGGGGGATACCTGAATTGCATGAGTGGAAAAATGAAGCTGAGTAAGTCAGCAAGCATGCATGAATTCATTTCTCTCTTGACTATGGACTTGATGTAACCAACTGACTCAAGCTTCCACCACCCTGGCTTTCCTGCAGTAATGGACTATAGCATGGTATTTTCAGATAAACTAAACCCTTTCTTCCTCCATGTTGTCCCCGCCCCCCCCCCCAGGGTATTTTATCACAGCAACAGAAATGAAACTGGGGCACTTGGAAGGGCTGTACCTTAGTGGTAGAGCATTTGGGTAGTATGTGTGAAGGATCTACACACGCACACCCTTCTTATTATTATAAGTAAATAATGTATGAATCTGATTATAAGAGTGCTTGTAAAAACCCAAACCCCACTGAGCATAGTGATGCACTCAGGAGGCAGAAGCAGGAGGATCTCTGCAAGTTTGAGGACAGCCTGGTCTACAGAGTGAGTTTCAGGACAGCCAGGGCTACAGAGAAACCTTGCCTTGAAAACCCAAACTAAACAAACAAAAACAAGTGTTTAAAAGCACCACAGGCTTATTAAATATTTTATAAATGAAAAAAATTGAAAGGAGAAAAAATAATACATTTCTGTCATGTTAATTGAGACTGCTAATATTTTGCTGAATTTCTTCCCTATTTTTTGGATGCATCATTTATAACTGAATATATTCATGTGCTTACAAGGATACATAAATATAATTTGGTTTTCTAGTCTTTTGTAGTCAACGTGAAACTAAATTTTCTATTTTGGGTGTGTTGCTTCATGAGCCTCCTCCCTTGATGATGCATTGGTCCTTGACAGGGCCGAGAATGGCTCTTGGCATGAGGAAGGCCCTCAACCATGGACAAAGCTAGCACTACTAGCTTATTAGCCTAAGGATTTTAATCCCTTCCTTCTTGTTAGGAACACTGTCTGTTTTCAATTTTCACTTGAAATACTTCTTGAAGGAACATTTCTGTGTATAATGCTTTTCTAGAATTTAGGATTACTTCTTTAGGGGGCAATCTGTTCTTAAATAAGGAACAGCGGTAGCATACTTGGGTCCATTTCACTAAATTCAGATGGGGTTGGTGACATCAAAGGGTGACAGGGCAGGGAACCTTGTGGGGGACCATGAAGCTTGGTGGTCTCTTGCTTTGCTCTGGGGTGGCTACTGGACTTCCCAGGCCTTCCTGCCAAACTTCGTCCCATTACCGATATGTCTGCTGCTTTCCCTGGACAAATACACATAGCACCCCCCATCTTTCGCAAAGCCTATCCGTTTCCAGACTGATTTCTTGTTCCTCACCCTTCTTCTCTGCTTCTGGAAGAATCTCACTTCTACTGAAAGCATTCCTCTGAAACTCTGTGACAAAATCCTACATGGCTGTTCAGAACTTGTCCAAATGGCTCACTCAACCTGTGTCACAACCAGGCAGTTCTATTTGTTTTCCTAAGCCCGCTGGAGCCTCAGCGTATTCTCTGAGTGCTGAAGAAACTGGTCAGTGTGTGGCCAGGGCAGCCTTGGGGCTCAGCTCCCAAGAGTTGCCCAGCATTCGGCCTTCCCCAGCCAGAGGCATGAAGCAACTTGGAGAAAAACTGGTATTTCTAGTGGGACCCGTGTCAGGTGCTCACATAGGAAGAAGAGCAGGGTCGACCTACCTCTGCTCCTGGGTCACCTTTGTCCCCAGCTTCTCCTTTCTCTCCCTGTGGGCACAAAAACATCCCAGTATGAGAGCTGGTAGCCAGAAGGCTGGCCACAGGCCACCCTCACATCTGTGATAAGCTACAAGGACCAGGCTGCCCCTGGGGAAGCTGCATAGGTAGCCAGTCTATAGGACAGTGGACCAAGATGGCCCTGTGACAGCCATCTCTGAGGATGTGAGACTTCAGAGGTGGGAGAAGGGCTGGCCCTGTGACTTGTTTTTCAGTCTTGGAAGAGGGAATGTGGTCCTGATGCTGCCTGCCACTCCTGTGACTATTTTACACACCAACACAATCATGTATTATATATAGGAAAATGTAACACATGCTAAGACATGTTATAAACACACACATAGACATATGTTTGCACATGGCTCTGTTTTGCTAGTTCTAGATGCTAGAAAAAAAAACCCTCTTGATGACCTTCAAGAAATAAACTATTGTGAGGTGAACTGTCCACAATGTGGCTGGGAATTATAGGTGGCAGGCAGGGGCTGGGGGACTCAGTCCTACTATCGCAAGGGACCAAATCTTGTCACCAGTTAGTGGCTTGGAAGAGGATTATAGAACACAGATGGCCACTGATCTGACTGCAGCCTTGGAGACCCTGGTTGGGGAACCCAATGATGACAGCTTGGCTCCTAAGACACAGAACATCATAATGACAAAGCTGTGTCATTTATAAGCTGCTGTTTGTGATGGCTTATGGAACACCAATAGAAACTGAACATAGCTCAGATCCCAGAGTCTTGGGGGAGGTGGACAAGGGGGAGAATACACCAAGCCCAGGAGTGCAACTTCCATCTTGGAAGTGGGCACCCTGAGAAGCTGCGTGTCATCTACCTGCCTGCGTGGCCCTGCTGGGCAGACATGCACTTTCAGGGTCCACTGAGTCACATTTGACCTCTGAGGTTCTTTTACTGTTTTTGTGTGGGTGTGTGAGGCAGGATGTCAACCTCAAATGCCCCCCAGGTGCAAGCCTTGTTTGCTTGCTCAATTTCTCCCCACCCTTTTTGGGGGATCTGGGGCTCACTGATTAAGCTAGGCTGGCTGACATGCACACCCCAATGACATGCCTGTCTCTTTTCAGTTCTAAGACAGGAATTCCATGTCTGAGTCAAGTACCCTTGGGCTAAGTAGCACCTGAAAATAGAAGCTACCATAGTTTGTACCAAAGAAGCTAGACTTCTGTTTGGACCCAATTAGGACTCCAGGCTTGCTTACAGGCCCAGGCTAACACAGCTTAGTGTGATGCCAGGCACCTTAGGCTGTTGGCCCTAGTGAGGAGCCCTTCACTGATGTGCCCTCAACTGCAGCTACCTGTGCACACCCTTGACACCCGGTCCTCTCGCCTTACTGTGAATCCCGGGAGCCCGATGGGCCCAGGTAATCCTGTCGCTCCGGGCCTCCCTTCGTCACCTGGTTCTCCTTTCTCCCCAGTTGGGCCGTCTAGACCCTACAGATTGACAAAGATCTCTGTCAGTGAAGCTCAGAGTCGTCATGCTGAGCAAATGTGCCCGTCTGTGGCATGCATACATGCGTGATCCCTTCCTCCAAGGTTGGATGTCCAAGGGTGGTACCATTTCACAGATGTTACTACTGAGGCCCAGGGAAAGCTCCTCAGCTAAGTCATGCAAATTCTGATGTAGGGCTTCCACATGCTTCTGGAGAAGTAGGCTCATGGCTCTGTCTGGGTCTTTTTCAACATTTCATGGAGGGGGGCAGGGATCCAGGAAAGGTATTGTTATTCCCATTTTAGAGATGGGAATTTGAGGCTCTGCAAGGCTCAGTGAGTTGCATGGCAGGTTGCAGCAAGTAAATTTTGGTTCTCTGAACTCGGGAGCAGCTGGCAGCATGCGGAGCCCATGTCAGGAAGGAGGCGGTGCATGCAAGGCAGCAGCTGATCAGACACTTACCTGGGGGCCTGCTTGTCCTGTTTCCCCTTTCTCCCCGGGGCTCCCTGGGGCTCCAGCCTCTCCCTTCATTCCTGGAGGCCCATCCTTTCCTGGGGGTCCTTGGGGGCCAACTGGCCCCATGTCTCCTGGTTTTCCTCGAGGTCCCTATAGAAATAGTAATGGCACTTCTTAGGGATATTAATGGAGAAAAGAGGAGGGAGGGAGAGAGACCAGAGAAGGCTTAGTGGTCAAAGGCTGGGGTCACTGGCACTGGATAGGAGCTGATAAAGTGATCCCCAGCCTGGCTCTGCTAGGGTATACAGCTGGAACTCCTCTTCATGGCCCTCCTTACTTTTCCTGGCTGGGCCTGCTCCTGAGCCCTCCTGTCCACCCTCTCTGAGTGAGAACCACATGCAGAATCCTTGCTGTAGACAGTGTTGCTTACCTTGTCCCCATCGTGTCCTGGAGGGCCTGGCAGTCCAATCTCTCCCTGCAGCAGGGGCAACAGAAATGGTTTAGAGCAGAGATACTAATGCCCATCTCCTTGGTACCCTGCCCCTAATCCCAGAGCTTCCAGAAGGCATACCTTTGGTTGCCTCGGAGTTATAGATCAGGTCCCAAAGTACAGATGTGAGGGGAGCTGAGCATCTTGTGACCCATGTTTTAGTCATAGTGCAACATGGCTGTCCCTGAGAGCCCTGTACATCCCCAGTTCCTGGTCACCTTAGCACAACCTTCCTGTCCTCATTGTCTACTTCACAGCAGTCTCAGACCCTTCCTCATTTAGGATGGGGGCAGGGTGTGGTGATATGATATAGGAAGGAACAGAGGGGAGAGACAGCTAATTCTGCTGGATGAGTCTGGAGTGTCTTCCTGGAGAAGGCTACCTGAGGGAGGGCAGGCTCTCAGAGGCAGAGAGAAAACACAAGGTTTCTTCTAGAAAAGCAGAGGAAAGGGCGGGTGGAGGATGAGAATAATGGCACAGGCATTGAGTGAGGGAGGGAGAGAGTTAGAAGGGGGTTACTTGGGTCTGGTGGCTACAACTAGGGATATGTTACAGATCCTACTGTATCTGAGGGGTCTCTGAAGCACAAAACCAGACTATTACCAGGGAAGAATGGTAGAGCTTGAGGCTGGGACTGAGGGGACTGGAGTGGGTGATCTAAGGTACAGAGAGGACTGGCAGACAAGTATGTGGCCCTGGGAAGATTGGGGGGTCACAGAACATGGGAGTGCTCAGAATGTACCATGCTTTCAGGCATTTTTAATGCCTCACTCTGTTCCCACCTCCCCAGGACCCCCCAGTTTCCCAGCCCCCCAAAGTCTTACCCTTTGGCCTGGACTCCCTGGAGGTCCAGGTGGCCCTGTTTGTCCAGGAAGACCAGGAGGACCCTAGGAAGAAAAGGAAGAACTTCAGCATGGGAGGTGGCAGTACTTTGAAACATAACTCACACACACACACACACACGCACACACAAGCTACAGCATGAATGTGTAGTTCAGGGGACAACTTTGTGGAATTGATTCTCTCTTTTTTTTCCAGGATGAAATTCAGGTCACCAGGCATGTATAGTAAACACCTTCACCTGCTGAGCCATCTCACTAGTTCAACACTTGGCTTTTTACATAGATTCTGGGGATCAAACCTGGGTCCTCTTGTTCAAAAGTACATCAAGCATGTTCCTGACTGAGCTATCCCCCCTACTTCTAATAGCCTTTTAAAATCAAATATTTAATGTTCTCAAACTAAGTCCATTGGTTCTAGAAACTTGTGGTTTGTTCCACTGTCCAGGGATGAGGTGTCCCTGGAAATAGTTTGTTTAAGACAAGGTCTTGTAGGCGACTCTTGCTGGGCCAGAACTCATTACATAGACCAGGCTGGCCTTGAACTTGAATGACCCTCCTGCCTCTGCCTTGTGAGTCTTGGGATTATAGATGTGAGCCACCTTGTGTGTCACCCTGCTGTATACAGAGACTCCCCCACATAGTTACAAAGACCCTTGGGCCCCTTTCCTCTTCACTGAGGAGGTTGAAGTTGGTGACAGTTGTCATAACTACACATATTTCCTTTGAGCCTGCCACATGTGCAGAACACAGCATGGAATTTACAGGGTTTTTCCAGGCATCGATACTGAGACTGCATAGACAGCTGCTACTCATTTTTCAGAGAGAGAGAGAGAGAGGGGGGGGGAGAGAGAGGGAGAGAGAGAGAGATGCTGTAAATACAGCCCAGAGTTCACATTGTGTCTGTGTGAACCACTGGGGAGATGAGGAAGTATCACCACAACCAGTCCTGATACAGTGACACACAGCTCCTGGCCCTGTCCAGGACTGGTGCACCCTTTGCCTGGAATGGCCCAGAAGCTCAGCATCTGCCTTCTGGAGGTCAGAACTTTAGATTGTGTTCTCTGTGTCCAGCCCAAGGCCTGAGGGAAAACCAGGGAGAGCAACTTACCATCAAGGCCAGTGTTCTGATCTCCTGAAAAACAACACAGTATAATTAGTTGGAGGACAACAGTCTCCAGCTGCCATGCCTCCTCTGCAGTCTCTAAAGGGCCAGGGTGGAGGAAGACCTCACAGATGGGCTCATTCTTTTTCTTCCAGAATGCAGAGCAGAGGCTGGCAAAACATTTCCTTAAAGCTTAGCAGGCAGAGGACCCCGTCCATGGTCCTAACGAAGACTCATACAGTTTCACATACCTCCACACAGTGCCACACACCTCTACATACCTCCACACAGCGTCACACACCTCTGCATACCTCCACACAGCGTCACACACCTCTACATACCTCCACACAGTGCCACACACCTCTGCATACCTCCACACAGTGTCACACACCTCTGCATACCTCCACACAGCGTCACACACCTCTGCATACCTCCACACAGCGTCACACACCTCTGCATACCTCCACACACTGCCACACACTTCTACATACCTCCACACAGCGTCACACACCTCTACATACCTCCACACAGCGTCACACACCTCTACATACCTCCACACAGCGTCACACACCTCTACATACCTCCACACAGCGTCACACACCTCTGCATACCTCCACACAGCGTCACACACCTCTACATACCTCCACACAGTGTCACACACCTCTGCATACCTCCACACAGCGTCACACACCTCTACATACCTCCACACAGCGCCACACACCTCTACATACCTCCACACAGCGCCACACACCTCTGCATACCTCCACACAGTGTCACACACCTCTGCATACCTCCACACAGCGTCACACACCTCTGCATACCTCCACACAGCGTCACACACCTCTGCATACCTCCACACACTGCCACACACTTCTACATACCTCCACACAGCGCCACACACCTCCACACAGCGTCACACACCTCTACATACCTCCACACAGCGTCACACACCTCTGCATACCTCCACACAGCGTCACACACCTCTGCATACCTCCACACAGCGTCACACACCTCTACATACCTCCACACAGTGCCACACACCTCTGCATACCTCCACACAGCGTCACACACCTCTACATACCTCCACACAGCGTCACACACCTCTGCATACCTCCACACAGCGTCACACACCTCTACATACCTCCACACAGCGTCACACACCTCTGCATACCTCCACACAGCGTCACACACCTCTACATACCTCCACACAGCGTCACACACCTCTACATACCTCCACACACTGCCACACACCTCTACATACCTCCACACAGTGCTACATACCTCTGTACACCTCCACACAGCGCCACACACCTCCACACAGCGCCACACACCTCCACACAGCGCCACACACCTCTACATACCTCCACACAGTGCCACACACCTCTACATACCTCCACACAGCGCCACATACCTCTGCATACCTCCACACAGTGCCACACACCTCTACATACCTCCACACAGTGCCACACACCTCTGCATACCTCCACACAGCGTCACACACCTCTGCATACCTCCACACAGCGTCACACACCTCTACATATCTCCACACAGCATCTCACACCTCTTCATACCTTCACACACCTCCACACACCTCCTCATACCTCCACATACATTCACACACCTTCACATACCTCCACACAGCTTCATACACCTAGGCAGTTCTAAGGAACAATTCTCAATCTGGTGTAGTTTTTCCCTCAAGGAGAACTCTGGAACTTCCTGGTCCTGACTAAGGATGGGGTGCTGCTAGTCCAGTAGGTCGAGATGTGCTAAAAACCCTTTAGCACATGGGGCAGTTCTTCCAGTTGCCACTACATGATCCAGCCATGAACAACTGTGCCAAGATACAGGCACTTATTTAAAAGATGGGGTGTCCATTCCCTATGGCGGGATGCTTTGCTAGGTCTTGATGCAGAGGGGAGGGCCTTGGTTCTGCCTCAAGTTATGTGCCAGGCTTTGTTGACTCCCCATGGAAGGCCTTACCCTTTCAGAGGGGTGGATGGGAGATGTATTGGGGGAGACGAGGTGGGGAGCAGGAGGAGAGATAGGAGGGGGAACTGAGGCTTGTATGTAATATAATAAATAAAAAAAACAAACAAAAAAGATAGGGACTCATGAACTTGAAACAGTATGAAACTGACAGAAAACTGATGTGTTTTAGGGAGGCAGAGGCAGATCCTACCAGGTGAAGAGGTGCCTGGGAGTCATGTGCCCCCAGAGCACTGATGGGAGCCAGGGCACTCTTAGTGACTGATTATCCAGAGCCAAGCATTAACTATGGGCTAAGACCTCCAGTGGGACTCGGAGATCTGCAGCCTCCAGAGAAGAACCCACTCACCTGAAGTGCCTCGTTGATGTTTCCATTGTAATCCACAATCTCTCCCTTGCCAGGTTCACCCTTGGAGCCCTAAAAGACAGAGAAACTCTCAGTCAGAGCCTGGGACAGGAGGGGCTTGAGGTCCTGCAGCCTCTCCTTGTACCTGCCTGGACACACATGGCATGGAGCTCCCAGCACTGCTTGTCAGGGTGCTCTAGGCTTTTCAGAAGAAACGAGCAGTGTGTGCTTGAGCATTCACGACTAGGCAGCCCCAGAAATGGATAAGTATAACCGCCTGGCTAGGCAGACCTCCCTCCTAGGGCTGGCACACCATTCCTTTCCCACCTCTCCAAGAGCTCTGGCTCAAGTCCCTTGGTGCTACAACTCCAGGCGACAGACGAACATACCTTGGGGCCAGCTGGTCCTTGTTCCCCAGCTGCTCCTGGCTGCCCCTGTTGCATGACAAATGAGTGAAGTTGTTGATAAGGCTGAATGTGAGAACACTGATGTCCTCAGACAAGCTACACTTCAGGAGCCACAGAGCGGTCAGGAGGCTCATCCATCTTGGCTCAAGCCAACAGGACAACCTCCCTGTATGCTTCAGTGCAGGCTCTGCCCCCTTCCAGAAACATCCTTGACACCTGCCCACACTTTCTTCCTGTGAGTTTGAGTTCCCCAGGGCCGTACTCCTTTTGCATTTAATGATATCCCTTTTCTGTACTGTGTTGTTAGTGGCACTCCTCTGTCCCTTTGGCCACCTTTCCCCAGTTCCCTAAACCAGTCACAGCCCTGGCGACAGGTATCTGCCCTTTGCTTCCTCTGATTTCTATTCTCTACTGATTGCAGGGGCTCATTGCCTGGTCTTCAGTGATGGCCTCAATGAGCCCATATGGTCTTTTTAGGGACGACTCTCCCCGGGGCAGAGAGAACCACAGGATGAAACACAGAGTCCAGGGATGTCACAGCTAGAGGGACACTGATGTCCTAGAGTGGGCCAGGGGCTGGTCATTGTTCCTACTGGAAATTAGAACCAGGTAGCATGGGTGGGATGGGACAGTGGTGTCAAGAGAAGGACAAATCACACACCCCGTTTTTCTGGGATAATGTGAACGTGGAAGACAAAACACAAAGTCAAACATAAAGAGAAGCTGAAAACTTTGTCAGCTCAACTCGGGTGCCACCACCCCTCTGAGGACTGCCCTTTGTGTCCCTCCCACCTCAGCATTTTGGTTGTCACATGCCTGTGAAAGAGACAGGGAGAAATGGACAGACAGGAGCTCTCCGTCTACATCTGTGGCTTGGAAGCTACTATATATAAGCCAGGGCTTGAACTCATTCCCCAATTAAAGTGTCCCATTCTCCAGGCAGACTTTTGCATGCCCATTGTCGCAGTGGATGCTTCTCTGAGGTTCAAGTCACGAGGTGGAGTCAGGAGTCATGGCTGGCTAGCCTGGGGTCAGGGAGTCAGGAGTCATGGCTGGCTAGCCTGGTGTCAGGGAGTCAGGAGTCATGGCTGGCTAGCCTGGGGTCAGCACTGGGTTCCAGGCAGGCTAGGCATGGTTGGTTTCCTGAGCTCTGTTTGAACACCTCACACCACCCTCATCTTGCTGTTCCTGATTGTGGGGGACTCTACCTTGTCTCCTTGCTGTCCTGGGGGCCCAGCCTGGCCATTGACACCAGCTTCTCCCTGGGAAGAAAAGACAGGAGGTGAGGGCACTCGGGCAGCCAGGTCAGCTGTAAGAGAGACATGACTCTGGAAGAGACACACTATACCAGGTCCTGCCTGCCTGGGCAACAGAAGGGGGACACAAAGGCCCAGAGAACCAGGGTAAGAGATTCTCCTGAGTGCAGGACAGGCTGCGTGGGGAGAGGTGTGAAGACAGAGACCACTTTTGCACTTCTTTTAGGAGCCCTGGGAAGTGGACTGGAGTTTGGGAATATAGCTTTCTAATTCCCCTTTCCCATATCAGAAGACATGTTGGCTAGGCATCCCCAAGTTCCTGCTGACATCTGGGCTGTGGAAACCTCATGACCTATGACCCCCCCCAGGCCCAAGAACATGGGGTGATGGTGCTGCTGGGTCTGGAAAAACCAAAGCTCCTGCTGAGTTGGACTGGAGCTATTTCTCTAGAATGCCGGGAAGTCAGTGGCTGCACATGCTCAGTCGGCACCTTTCTCTCCCACTGCTCTTCATCTGCCTCGGTTTGGGATTCCACAGCCCTGTGGACATAGATGCTAGCAACGACTCACCTTTGGCCCAGGGGGTCCAGGGAGCCCTGGGGGGCCAGGCTCCCCCCTGCCTCCTCCAATGGCATTGCCTGAATCACCCTTTTCTCCCTGGGGATGGAAAGTAGAGTCACATCACGGGCTCTCCACACTGTAGGAGGTGGCTGATGGACTCCTGTCCAAGGAAGAAGAGTGGCAGACTGGGAGTCCTGAGGCCAGGCCAGCTGCAGAACGGACACTAAAGGGCCAGCCCTGCCCCCAGGGACTGACATAATATTGGTGACTGAGGCAAGGGGTGAGGGCAGAGGTTACACTGGGGTCTTAGACACGGAGTGCTCCTGGGGATATGCAGTGTCTGCTTCTTCATGCTCACAGCTTTTGATCACGACTCTGCTGGGGACTTTTCTTGTGTAGCTCTCCCCGGGGAATACTGGATCTCAAGTCTTTTTAAAAATGGCTTACTTTTAAAAATAATCTTAAGGAACCTAAGCAGATATGCCTCACAAGCCCAAGGATGAGACCCAGGGCTGGCGGTTGGGGTGGGGGTGGTGGTTGAGGAAGGCAGATCCCTGAGGCTCAGCCTAGCTGAATTGTCAAGCTACAACCCCCCCCCCCCAACAAGGAACATTGTCTCAAAAAAACACAGTAGACCTCTCCTGAGGAATGACGACAAAGGAACCTTTGGCCTCCATGTACATGCACACACATGAGCACAGGGCGCAGGAGCACATATAGGAACAACGGATGCTTTACAGATGCGCAAATAAATAACCAATTTGAATGGCTTTAAATGAGCTCGTTTTTAGAGCTTGCACAAAGAAATTCAAGCAAGGTCATACATAGCTACTGAATTCTTCAGACGGGGGCATTCTTGGGCCATCTTGTGGGGTCCACACCTCCATCTGGCTGTGCCCCAGCTGCTTTCCCCTAATCTGGGAATGTGCAGGGCCAGGAGGACACCAAGGCTTGCAGACACCATCCACCATGGAAAATGTGTACCCACCTACCTTCTGCCCCAAGAGGCCGGAGAGCCCAGGGGAGCCTGTAGCCCCCTTGTCACCCTGCAGAGAGAGAGAGGGAGGAGGGGAGACAGAGAAGAAGAGTAAGAACAGCATTTTCAGGGTGTCTGGGGAGGCACCTCTTAGCACATTGCTCCTCTAGCTTGTTTTTGTTGTTGCTGTTGTTTTGTTTTGTTTCTTTCAAGACAGGTTTTCTCTGTGTAGCTCTGGCTGTTCTGGAACTTGTTCTGTAGATCAGGCTGGCCTCGTACTCACAGAGATCCGCTTGCCTCTGTCTCCCAAGTAGCTCCCTAGCTCTTGTGCCTCTGCTTCCTCTTGGGCCTCTGTGCTGACTCCTTTCCTGAGGCACTGCTTTGTTCCCACATGAGCCTGGCTCTTAGAATTCTCAGGATGCAGAAGAAACCCTGGCCACCGTCCACAGTTGAGTACCCGTCTTTTCCGAGAGCCCCTACAAGTGGGGATGGGGCAGTTTGGGGCGGTTTGGAAAGCCAGAGCTTGGGAAGTCCCTGTGTACGCTCTGCTCTTCCTCATGCCTTCATGTCTGTTCCCCGCGTCCTCCTCACCGGCCCCTGGCCCTTCTGTCCTCCTCCTGCTGCCTCTAGAGAGAACCCATACACCAGAATGCCAGAATGCCCTTTTTGAGAAGTGTGTATCTTGGGCCAAATTTGTAATCCAGCAAAGTTCAGTGTTGAAGTCCTAACCACTAGTACTTCAGATAAGGACTTTTTTTTTTTTTTTTAAATAAAATCACTGAATAAAATCATCAAATAAATCATTGAAGATTTCCTTTAGACCAAATATGAAGGGGCATATGGAGTAGATAGAACCCATAGAACCCAGTGTTGCCATGACATTATAGGATGGGCAAGTCTGGAGACAGGCAAGCAGACACACAGACACAGACACACAGATGCTATGTGGAGATGGAAGGATGGGGTGAGGCTTCGTCAAGCTGAGGGACATGAATATTGTCCTAAACTGCTGGAGAGGCAAAAGCCTCAGAACCCCCCCACCACCACCTTTGGGCTTCTGGCCTCTAGGGCTCTAGAGGATGTAAGTCTGTGAATCTTTAATGCTGTATTCCCTGTCCCAGCTTTGTCCAACATTGAAGAATTTGGCTATCTGTCCCCATGGCATGAATCACTGAGTTCTGTAGGGTTACTGGAATCTAAGCCTCATTTGACAGGTGGTGACAGCCTGCCCCATGAGGTAGGTGGCTTTGGACAGCCCCTTACTGAGCTAATGGCAGAGCCAGTTTCTCCTAGATATCCCATAGTCCACCTTTTAGGGTAAAGTATTAACGTTGCTTCCACAGTGTCTGTATGAGTCAGCACAGTCTCTTAACAAAATGCCAGGCATTGGTGGCTGAGATAGCAGAGGTCCATGCTCTTATCATGCTGTATTGTCATCTGGGTGCCTGTGCGAGGGAGAAGGGAAGGGCTGTCCTGGCTTGTCTTGGCTGTCTTCTGTCTGTTCTCACTTGGCAAAGAGGAAGACTATCTTCTTCGGATAAGGCCACCAATATATTCAGATTAAGGTCCCACCCTTGCAACCACTTTTAACCTTTCTTATCCCCTAAAAGCCCTATCCTCTAGTGCAGACATCTTGGGGCTCTGGGCTTCAGCATATGAATTTTGGAGGGGTAGTTCACTCCACAGCAGTGCCCAATGGAAAGCACGCCCCACCAGCAGGGAGTTGAAGCAGGTTGACATTAGAATTCTTGCCTCCACAGCAACAAGTGTGGTAATGACGTTCCTATGCACAAGAATATGACCTGAGAGACTCTGGGGTCACTGTCTTAATAATCTTTCCAGTGGGAGCCAGGAAAAATGCCACACCGAGTCTCTAGGTGTCATATCCCTGACGCTTGCCCTTGGGTATGGGCTGCCTGGTGACATGGTATGGAGACAGGAAAGGAGGTAGGGAGCCAGGCAGGAGCCTGGTGAGGACCATTGGGGTCAACCCCTGGGATGGGTTTTAACCTACAGACTCCCAATAGCTGGAGCAAAAGATTCTGTCCTTTCCACAGGGGTGGTTCGCAACAAGATGATGAGGTAGGGTCCTTGTGCCCTGGCTTTCACTGGTAGCTAAGGACTTCTGAAAGGATTTGTATCCTCAGGTTTGCTGGTCCATGCCATATTCCCTTCTACGTCATGCCCACCCAGCATAGGAACTATGGGGTGGAGCCCCTGGGACGGGTGTCCCGGAAGCCGTTCTGGCCTACCCACCCTGTCCCTTCTTTCCCAGCACACCTGGGGCCCAGCTTCCCTGCATCTCTCATAGAGATAAGAGAGGGTCACTGATAAAGGGACATGGCGCTGAGGGAAGGGTAGGTGGAATCAGAGACCCTTACTCTGAGACAGCTGGCCTCAGGCTCCTTGTAAGCGAGAGGCATTCAGATAAACATATGTGTACTGCATACTGTATTGGCTCTTTAGGATTTCGCAGTGCACATTTAGCATATCCACGTACTCCCTCCTAACAAGGCTGTCACCAAAGACTGAATTCAAGGCCTCCCACAAGCCAGGTAAGTATACCTAGTGCTCTTTTATCATTCCCTTGACAAAAAGTATTGCCAAGTTTAATGGGCTTGGTTTGAGTTTGTGACCTCCCTTCCTCAGCCTCCCCTCAGGGGTCCAGAAACAAAATTGTGGTCCCTGTTAGCTTCACCCCACAGCCCATCTCATTTCTCTGTGGCCCGTAGGATTCCCTTTCCATCAGTACCTTGGCTCCTGGAGTCCCTGGCTCGCCCTGTGTGGAAACAAAGACACGAGGGAAGAAAGGGGAGAGATGAGAGGCAAAGCCGGAGCAAGGATTCTCAGCTTGTGGGGAGGGGCTCTTCCTCTGCTCGGTGGGAACTCCAGGACAAAGGCCTTCTGGGAAGCTGCTCCTGAGGGTCTCATCTTCCCCCTAGATCCGTGGTTCTCAACCTTCCTAATGCTGCGGCCTTTTATACAGTTCCTCATGTTGTAGTGACCTCCAACCATAAAGTTACTTTTGTTGTTACTCCATAACTGTAATTTTGCTACTGTTATGAATCATAATGCAAATAGCCATATCTCCTGATGGTCTTCGGTACCCTGTGAAAGGGGTGGTATGACCCACAAAAGGGTTGCAACCCATAGGTTGAGAACCGCTGCCCTAGAAGGATGGACATGCTAGCAGCATCCCAGGAGGAAGGATGGTGGTGGTGCCCTCTGTGACCACTCTGTGATCTGCTGCAAAGACCAACGTTGGGCACCACTGGGCACTCCCATGGTACCCACACACTTAGTTAAGGGTTCAGGGGAAAGATGTTGGCTCTCCTCTCAGAGGCTTTGGAAGCCCATGGCAGCTGGTTCTGGAGTATGGGAAAGAAGTGGCTTCTCTCAGTGGGAGACTAGGGAGGCCTTGCAGCAGAGCCTGAGACATGGCTGAATCCTCATCCTCCTCTGGGTCCAGCTGGCATGCTGCTAAGGCCCTGAGCTCCTGCTCTGTGGTTTCATGATAGTCTGCCCCTAATGCGTTGAATGACAGTGTGTACCGACCTTCATTCCAGCCACAGCAATCCCAGGAGCCCCCTGGTAGAGAGAGAAAAAAGAAAGAAAGAAAAGCATGAAGGTCTCTGAGGTCCAGGCAGCTAGCCGCCGAGCAGCTCTGCTGGTCTGCACTTTTGTGCTGACTGATAGCCAGTCCTGCCCCAGGGTATGAGAGAATGTGACAGTCTGAGCCAGGCACCCCAAGAGTGCACCTGAGCTGGAACATGGGCTGTCCATCTGCTGGATTACCAGGACTTCCCTGGGATGTCCAGTGGGGACAGTGAGGCTTGCATTAGGTCCCCATCATCAAGGGGTGAGGACTTCCAGGCAACACCACAGGAAGGCATTGGTTTTACCAAAGCATAGTGCACCCCTGTGTCTAAGTGGGTTACTGCCACCCACAGCCCTCAGGAGCTGGGAGCAAACTCCATCCCTTCTTTTCTGTGTGTGGTGTATGTGTGTATGCACATGTGTTTGTAGGATCAGACATGTACGCACGAGAGGAGGTCAGAATTCAATGCCAGGTCCTTCCTCTGTTGCTTATGTTTTGAGACAGGGTCTTTCACTGAACGTTGCACTCATGATTGTCTAGAGTGGCTGGTCAGCAAGCCCACAGGAACCCTCCTGTTTCCTTTTCCCAGTGCTGGGATTATAGGCAAGAACCACCCCATTTATGGGGATGCTGGAGATCCGAACTCAGGTCCTCATACTTACAGTTATATAGTAAGCTCTGCTGAACCATCTTCCCCTTCCTTCCTTCCTTTTTTTTTTTTTTTTTTTTTTTTTTTTTTTTTCCTTGAGACAGGGTGTCATGTAGCACAGGCTGGCCTTGAACTGGATATATATTCCAGGTTGGCCCTGAATTCCTGATCCTTCTATCTCCACTTCCAAAGTGTGTATCACCACATCTGGTTCATGAAATTCATTTTCGTATTTCCCAAGACCGCATACTTTCAAGGTGAAAATGTTGCTCAAGATGCCACTTAGAGAAGGCCAAATGGGGCCGGAGAGATGGCTCAGTGGTTAAGAGCACTGGTTGCTCTTCCAAAGGTCCTGAGTTCAATTCCTAGCAACCACATAGTGGCTCACAACCATCCATAATAAGATCTGGTACCCTTTTCTGGCCTGTAGGCATACATGCAGGCAGAATAATAAATAAATATTTAAACAACAACAACAATTTAAATAAATAAATAATTTAAATATATATTTTTTTAAAAAGCCCAAGTGGAGGGTGTTGGGGTTCTTGTGTTTTCTTTGGGTCTCAGGACCATACTAGAGCTGATACCTGTGAGGGATTTTCGTGATTCAGAAATCCTAGGAGGCAACCAGAGCCACAACACACTAGCCTCACTCATGTTAGGAAAGATGGATATGGGAAGGGGGAGAGTTAAAGGACTGTGCAGCCTATGTTCCTAACAGGTTATGAGAAGGAAGGGACCCAAGAAGGAACCAAGACTCTCAGAGTTTGGGAGTGGAATAGGCATAGGGAGGGATGGGTACCTTGGCTCCGTGCTTGCCCGGCATCCCCGGCATGCCCCGCTCTCCCTGGAAAAAGAAGCAAGAGATACCATGAGAAAAAGGACAAGGCTTGGCATTGTGGCCTGCAAGCTTGAGCATCCAACCCCCATGAGTTCTGAGGACCCTGTCATGGCAGCAGCCACACAGGCCACTCCCCTCTGTCCCATGACACCATCTGGCAGGAAGGTCCAAGTCACAGGCATAGAGGAGAAAGGGAGAGAGACAAAGAGGGGGGTGGGGGGTGAAATGAACAAGAAACACATCACACACACACACACAGACACACACACACACACACACACTAAATTTAGGGAGATGGCCCTGAACCAGCTTTGCAGCTGCCTCCACTATGCTGGGCCTGGAGTCAGGCTGCGACAAGAGCAGCCATGTAGTTACTTACCTTCCACAGACCTTTCTATCCACCCGGCCCCGCCCCGCCCCCAAAGGTTTGATAACATGGTGCCCACTGCTATTTTTATCTAGGGCCTGTTCTTCCCAACCTCTCTGGGCTTGTGAGCTGTTGTTCATTTTTTCCAACTCCCTTTCTGATCCTTCCTGGCCACACACAGCAGCTGGCTGCAGCTTTTCTGGGGTTTATGGGCAGGGCTGTGTCATCTCAGCTCTATCATCTTTACTTTCAATGTCTTCCTCTTCCCTGTGACTGCCAGATCTACAGGAGAAGGGGGCACCAGGAAGGCAGGCAGTCATCCTGCCATAAAATGGGTCAGGAGATGACAGCCAGTGACAAAAGGGGGCCAAGAAAGGGTGAGTCAAGACAGTAATCCAATTGTCTAGGGGGGCTAACTCTTGCCTCAGGCACTGGACCCCACATACTACCCCAGGACATGAAGATGCACTACATAAAGATGCAGCAGTGCCCTGCCAGCCTGCTGGCTGATTGCTGCTGGTGATTCAGGTGATGCTGCAGAAGGGAAATCCAGAGCCCAGGCACACCTGACCTGTACCATTTCATCTGCTCAGACTCTCTTCCCTCTACCTCACAGGACAGCTCTGCTTCCCACTCCCCAGACAAAGGAAAGAGACTCCCACTTTCTTCCTCCATGCTGACCCCTCCACACTGGTGTCTCCAAGTCTCCCAGCACACAGCCTAGATAATGAGGTTTTCAACTTCACAGTCTCCAGGGCCCATCAATCTAAGGCATGGGAGCTCCTGAGTTTCTGAGCTGGTATTCTGAAATCTGCCTCCACCCTAGTTTCCTGGTGAAGATAAACCACTGTGTTCCTAGAAATGCCACCCACTTCCAAAGCCTCAAGGTTCTCTGCTACTTCCTCAGTTCAAAGCCATATTTATGACACTGTGGGACCCTTTACTGCCCCCACGTCCCAGTTCTGGGTACTCACATTGTATCCCCTACCACCAATGCTGGCCTGAACCCCAAGCTTCATGCATGCTGGGCAATTGTTTTAGTGTTGAACTCTATCCTAATGAGATGTCGTTCTTTAATTTTGAGACAGGGTCTCACTAGCCTTGTGCTTAATCTGCAGCCCAGATAGGATTGTGAGCATCCTGCCTCAGCCTCCTGATTATCTGGAATCACAGGCTAGTGCCACCATGCCCAGCTCACTTTGCACTCGACACCTGTACACATGTTCATGCCCATCTGTGACAGACATTGCGTCATATTCGTCCTCTTAGAGCCAAGTGCCTGAATTCTACAGAAGGCCCCAATCTTTATGTCCAAACACCAAATACATCCTCTTCCACCCTGGCCTGCTCAGGGTGCCAGAGGAGTCTGGGAAGGTCTACTCTGTGGCCAGCAGAGGGTGCAGGAGGGCCTTCTCTGAACTTTTGACATCTTGGCCATAGTGATCTTAAAGACCCCTTGGGGTTCTGGGTGGCTGTCATCTCTAGAGGATCAGGTCATCTGATAATATTCCAGTGGACTCCATCACACTGACTCAGCCATGACTCTCTAGACCTATGGTTCTCAACCTGTAGGTTGTGACCCCCTTTGAGGTTGCATATCAGATATTTACATTACAAGTCATAACAGTAGTAAAATTACAGTTACAAAGTAGCAACAAAATAATTTTATGTTTGGGGGGTCACCACAACATGAGAAACTGTATTAAAGGTCATGGCATCAGGAAGGTTGAAAACCACTGTTCTAGACAGAGTCCCCTGGTGTGTGCAGCGATGTTGGAGGGATATCACCTTGGGAGGCTCTGACTCCTCAGAGCGTCCTGTTTTGTTTTTGTTTTTTCCCCTGAGCTTTCTACAAGATCTCTCCTATCTCCCACTCATGGTGAACTAGGTGTCAGTGTGATTGTTTTCCTCTCTGGGTCCACACTTCTCTTTTGCACAGAGAGATCAGATTAGATCTATTCTCATCCCCCCTCCCTGACCACCCCCCAGCCCTGACCTGGCTGCCTGCATGGTGGGACATCAGTCAGAGCTAGAGAGGAGATGCTTGGTCCATGGATCCAGAGGAAGCAATCTTAGCTTTGGGTAAAAACACAAGACTAGGAGGGGGACTCAGTAGGGTACCACTGTGCCTCCCTGTACTTCCAGGATAGTTAAGGATGCTGTTTTACTCAGGTGGGCAGCCAGAGAAGCCATGCACACAGCGAGGGCCCCAGACTAACCCAAACAGTCCTTAGCTGGGGTTGGCTTGACCTTGTGAAGGCATGCCTGAGCATACAAAAGAACCAGCCATCCTTACTTCCTTCTAGGGAGCAGCCCTCTAGGGTGGCTAAGCTCCCCTCTTCCCCCTCAGCTGATCTTGGTCTCAGTGCCTCAGGACTTCCCTCCCTCCTGCCCTTTTGCTGGACAGGAAGCAGGGGCGCCTGGCTGACCCCATACCAGGGCTCTCTCCACTCTCATTAGCTTCACTGCTCAGCTCCAGCCTAAGGGCTTGCCCTGTCTGACCTCTGCATAGGCCAGAGAGCATTGCTTCCTGGATGGGGGGTGAGGCACCCTTCAGAATCCAAGATGCTGCTTCGGACAGGGGGGGCGGGCAGGGGCGGGTGTGGCCATTGCTGAAGGACATACATACTTTGAAGCTGTGGCATGCCTTTGTGCATGCCTCCTTTTCTGTTGCCTTCTTGAGTTTTTCAGTTCTGCAGGCACAGGTGGAAGGAGCTGTGCTCACAGCTTGGCCCTGCTGGCTCAGTGCCGTGCTTGGCTTTGTGGCTTAGATCTCACAGCTCTGATTCTTCTCTGCCTCTACCTCCCCAGTGGGGATCCCAGAGGCTCCCTGGCGGGGGGGGGGGACTCTCCACTACCCATCTGGACCATCCCATGGCTGGGAAGTGGGTCTCCAAGTGCCCCAAAGGGTCTTGGCCCCTCTGCCCAGCGTATGATGACTGTGACTCCCAGCCAGGCAGCCACCCTTGGAGGATGCTGGTTCTTTAATATGGTGCCAAGAAACAATGAATGGAAGCTGCACGTGGGGAGGAGGGGTACTGCAGTCACTGTGGTTCATGAGACAAATGGTTGATTAGGGCTATACTAAGTGATCTTGAAGGCCTGTCCCAGCTCCTAATAACACCCCCATGTGTCCTCACCCCCAATATCAACAGGTTCTATGTCTTTTAAAGTTTCTAGGTAGGAGGACCCATCCTTTCTACAGATGACAGTATGGCACAAGCCTGGCCAGTGGGTGTGGCCTCCTAATGGGTGATTTACTGTTTGTTGGACAAGCTGCACAGGGACTTGGCACGAAGTCTGTCTGGAGGGAATAGGGGTGGGGCGTCAATGTCAGTCCTGCAGCCAAGCAAAGGGCCAGCAGGCAAGGGAGATGAATGGATTTCCCTAACTTGGAGGCAGGGCTCTCCTACAGGGGGTCAGTGACATAGCATCTTTGTTTTTTGCAGGGGACAGGCGATTGCCTGATGAGTGGGGCTGGGGATGCTGGGGAGGCTGGGGAGCCCCTGGGTTGCAAAAGCTGTAGAGATGAGGGTAGGAGACACAACACTTTGTCTCAGGCAAGAGTTCTTGGTTTGTCCTTCCAGGGGAACAAAGGTGACTGAGTTCCTGCTTCCCCGGAACCATGGAAATCCCAGGTCCTCCGGTAATTAGGGCTGGCAGGAAGTGATCCAGGGAATTCCTGTGTCGGGTGCCCCATTCAAGGCTTGGGGCTTTGGAAGGATGGCTGGCTTGTAATCGCAATTTGAGATTGGTTGATTGTGTAGTCAATTCCAAAGGAAAAGTCAGTTCTAATTAATCTTTGGACTTTGGAGGGCAGAGCAGAGCCCAGAGGTCATGGAGTGGGGGCTGGGGCTGTCAGGTCCTCTGGAGGCCCATGCCTCCCTGTTCTTATCTGCATCCATTTCAAGAGACTGGATGTCCTCACTGGGACTTCCCAACATTGACAGAAAGTGCTGTGTACCCTCTGCTGCTGGAAATGGCCACAGGGGCCTTGGGTCACTTGGACCCTCTGTGAGCCAGAGAGCCACAAGGATCACTCAGGAGTGGTGGAGGTTTGAGATGAGCTGTTTTAGAAGCAATTCAGCTGTTTAGGGTCACTCTACCGGGCAAGCATGCTCTCAGTTCATCTAAATGAGGTACCCATGCGTCTACACCTTCTACCCTGCGAGAGCTGAACCCAGCCATGACCTCAGCTTCCATTTCATGTCCTTCCTGGGAAGATGAGAGAGAAAGCCTTTTAGAACACTAACACAAAGGTAGCAAAGTCATTCAGAGAAAGGGTTTGGGTTTAGACAGACCTAGGTATCACCACCTCCCAGCTGTGGGCTAGAGGGAGACAGACTGTGATCCAAGCTTTACTAGAAATATCAAAGAATCCTACTTTCTGAGGTAGATTTAAAAGAGACAATTCAATGGTACACAGGGGCTGGGGATGGGTCTCAGTTGGTAGAATGCTTGCTCAGCATGCACAAAACCCTAGGTTTAATCTCTGGTACCACAAAAAACAAACAAACACCAAAAAAAAAAAAAAAAAAAAAAAAAAAAAAAAAAAAAAAGAAAAAAGAAAAAAACAAAACAAAACAAAACAAACAAACAAAAAAAAAAACCAAACAAAAGGAAACCCAAAAAATAAAAACAAAGTCATCCTCAGCTACCAAATGAGTTTAAGGTAAGCCTGCACTTAAAAGGGGGTCAGGGCAAAAAAGTGATGCCTATGGAGTGTCTGGTACCCTGCCTGGCATGTAGGAGGGGCTCAGAGAGTATTCATAACAATGTTGATTATCGTTTCATAGAACTGTCTAGCTCCCATCAGGTGTGTAACCCACACTAGTCTGAAGGAGACATGAGGTTGTGATGTGTGATGTTGGAAACATGCTTTGTATTGTGCCCGTAAACTTGGACCAAGCAGATACCACATGGGGATACAACAATACATGCAATGTCTAAGCAGAAGAGTTGGCCCCTGGGCAGGTATAGGGGCTGCACAAGGGTGCTAGCCACCCTGGGCCTGGATCTCAAAGAGCTGGTAGAGAAGTAAAACTTGCTGGCCTGGATGAGAGGACACAGGCCTGGTACGGCCATGGAGGTGATGGAGGGAGTGTCCCATTCTCATACTTCACAGGCTGACATTAAACTCCACCTTGTGTGCCAAGCCTGGGAGACAGAAGAAGCAGAGCTCATGAGGCAGGCCCATCTGCTACACCAATGACTCCCCCTCTTCCACAGAGACCACTGTGGGGGTGGTCGCATAGCTATCTCAGCTCAGTGTTACTATAACTGGTGGCCATGCCTCCTGGGGGAGGGGTGGGAACATCTTTCTGACATCCATGTCTGTTCCTCCCCCAAGCTAATTTCGCCTCCTTTCACCTTAATGAAGCACAGAGTGGGAGGAAAGAGGGAGAGGGAAGGCTGACGGGTAAAGGGGGGCAGTGCCATTTAGCTTTTCTCTCCCAGAGAATCCACAGGTGCTCTTGAGACCTCAAATCTGACTCCAGAATTTTGTTCATCAACTGTGAAATTTTAGGCAAAGAATTAACACCTGGGGGATAATGGTCTCTCAGCCTGGTCTCTTGTAAGGACAGAGACTGGTACCATTGCACTTTGGCTGATGTGAAGGATGGCTGCATTTGATTGAGCATGAGTGACAATCACTTCGCATCAGGATTGAGAGGGAAGCAAGTGTCTGTTTGGACATGAGGCTTGCTGGGGCCAAGATGCCACAGTCCCAGTGTGTCTGTCTCCTTGAAGAGGATCTCTCTGCTAGTGGGCTAGAAGGCACTGAGAAATTGATGACAGAACAAGGGCCCTAGAAACGGGAGAAGGGCACGGGTGTGGGGTGCTGAGGTTACCAGGAAGACAGCTGGGAGGGGTGAGGGTCCAGAGAGGTAGAGGGGTCAACTATGGCCTTGTCAGTTAGAAACTTATGAAAAGAGACCTACAGAGGAGCAGAGGGGCATGGCCTAGCAAAGAGGGAAGCCATAAGGAACTCAGCATGAGGGGATGGGCTGAGGGGGCTGCTCCCCAGTCCTAAGGCTGAGGAGGCTCTCTCTGACTGCCCTAGATGCAAGATGAAAAGATGGGGACCAATGTGCCAAGAGGCTATGGCTCACAAAGCTCTGTAATGCCTCTAGGGGACATGTGTGGACAATCTGTGCCTAGGAAGCCATGATTTCCCTGAGCAAGGGACTGGAACCTCATCTGCTGCAGAAGCCACCATTAACAGTCCAGGCCAGTGGTTCCAGGCCTCTGGCGCTCTCCCTGGCACCTGGTGTGAGGAAGCATCTCAGATGAGCTTCAACAGTTTTTCTGAAGGGCTACCACAGTGCTTGCTCACATCTAATCCTGGGAGAACAGCGCAGTTCCGTTCTCCTGTGAGGCCAGAGCACTCTGTGACTGAGCCAGCCCCCTCCCCTCCCTCAATGATATTGCGCCATTCCTCTGCAAATGCAGAGATGCCTTGGTTGAATGAACCATGCTATCATCTACCCACACGAAGGATGGCCATGCACACGGGTCCAGAACCCCCAGTAGCAGGACACCCTAGCCCGCAGCTGGGCCTTCTCGGGTCTCAAGACAACAGTTTTCTAGACTCCATTTTTGAGGTATTACCCTTGTTTATTACCAGAGGGAGACACTACTGGTCACAACAGTGCCAGCCAAGGGCATCACCATAACCCTGGGGCCCCTCTGCCAGGGCGTCCACCCCTTCACAGCTTGAAAGGACCGATATGACTACTAATGGGAAAACCGACCCATGTTGCACCGGGAGGCAATAAATTTTGTGAGTCTGAGTGAGTGGATGGAGGCAACTGTGGGGGCTGTAATTTCCATTTCCTGACACAATGTGAACCTCTCACTTTATGCAGAACTAATTAAAGATCCCATGTCTCAGCATTTCACCCACTAGGCACCATAAAACATCATAGCAATGGCAGCCACCGGAACCCAAAGGGTGTGGCGTCTACTCCTAGGCAAGTGAGTCTCTCTTTCCAAGATTCCTTCCCCCACCCATACCTTTCCTTCCTGCTACATTTCTCCTCCTGGAAGGTTCTGGAGGATTCTGGAGCTTCCCAGGCAAAGCCTGAGATCCTTGTAGCATCTGGTACCGTGAGAAGGACCCAGACCTGAATTGAATTCTTGTTCTGTCTTCTCTTAGTTAAGACTTGGGTGAGCCTCAGCTTCCCCATGGGCTAGGTGGAAGAAAATTATAGCAGCCCTAAGGGGTATAGGACTGGGAGCTGTGCAGGCTGTATTGCAGGACAATGCTTGGCACATTCAGTAAGCACTGGCTGTGTTGAAAGTGTGATACTTTTATTTTATTGTAGCAACTGCTTCCCGGCCTTGGCTCAAATGGTTTTCATGTCTAAAATACTATTTCCTTTCAGGTATGCTGAAGGACCACAGAAGTCAGCTAAAAATGGCCACAGAGCTTTTCTGCCTCTTCAGTCAATCAATCAATCAATCAATCAATCAGAACTAGGTCTCTTCCTATGCTGTTGCAGGTAACATGGCTGTGTGACCCATTTAAGCAGAAGGTCCTTAAAAAAAGGAAATGTGGTATGAGATGAACTGGAAGGATGCTCATGTATTTGAGCCTGCCCACCTTGGAGGCTGTTCTGGGCCTGCTTTGCGGTGGGGAAGCCCACCCAGCCTGCTGGAAATTGAAAGGCACCTGGAAAGCAGAAACCACCAGCAAGGACCACCACTCAAAGGACTGAATAAGACTATCTTTGCCCTCCTCACTATCATATGATAAGCTCCTCCTCCTATGAACCCAGGTAGAACTGTAGAACCCTAGGCCACCAATCCACAGAAACATAAGAAATAATCATGATATTAAGTCAGCCAATTTGGGATACTTTGTTACACAGAACTAGCTAGCTGATATACCCACTCATAAGGTTAAGCACTTGACTGCTTTAATTCTTCCCACTTGAACTTTATCTTTCCACCCTGCTTTTAGAGAGCTTTGTAGTTGTAGCACTTAACAGTTTGCTTCTAGGAAGGCAATCTTTGCAGGAATGCTTGTCTGTCTGGCCTGAACTGACCAAGAGTGGGGATTGGTCTGTCTACACCTCCTTCCAGGTTCAGCATGGAGCTTGTGTTAAAGTGGCCCAGTACTCTGGCTCACCCGGTCCAGATACCAGACATAGCCAGCTAGGCATTATCCCATCTGTCTGTTCTTTCCTGAGTGTTTGGACAACCTTATAAACAATGAGGCTCACATGACTGGCACAGGTAAGAGCATGCACTGTTCCCATCAAGCCCCAGCCTGTGTGCATCCTTGCAATGAGGCCCCTCTTGGCTTCCCCACAGAAGAGGTAGTGTCCTCCCCCACCACTCCTGCTTACCTTGCGGCCATGGTAGCCCTGGATCCCTGGGTCTCCCTGGAGAAGAAAGAGAAGCAAAATGGCTTTCCATGCTAGACCAATTGGTACTCTTAGTTACACAATGCCACCTTCTGCCTCCCCATGAGTCCTCTGTTCTCTGGAGGTCCCCCAGACCCAGCTGTTGGGGAGCAACAGCCCTCAAGGTCCCCAGATATTGTTCAGATATTTGAAAGGTGCTGCAAGGGGTCAGCTTGTTGGAGACCCAGGACTCCAGTTTCGGTTCCACCAATGAGTCTTCTCCCTAGCCCCTCCCTGGCTCTCTGCTTCCATGTTTACGAAGTGGGGGCCACCCTTGGTGCTCTATGCCCTCTGGTTCCAGGGGTTTCTGACTTCAAAGTGAGTGCCTTTGCCATCGTGGGCTTCCAGGCAACATTTCACAAAAGATCAGATCACTTTGGAGGTTTTTCCATATTGGACAGTTTTGGGATACTGTGACCATGTCACAACATCTGTCTGCCTTGTGTTTCCAGCTAGAACATAAGCTCCCAGGCAGCCAAGATTGTGCTTTCTTCTTTTCTTTCTCTTTCTTATTTATCTATTTATCTATCTATCTATCTATCTATCTATCTATCTATCTATCTATCTATTTATGACTGGGTCTTGTGTAGCTCAGGCTGGTCTCTATGTTATATAACTACAGATAACCTTGAACTCTGGTCCTCCTGTCTCTGCTTTCTGGCTGTGGGCATAAGAATCACATTTTGTTTATGAAGCACTAGGGATCCAAACTCATGCACCCTAGGCAAACCCTCAACCCTAAACTGCACCTCCAACAGCAGGGTATTCTCTATGCCAACTATAGTGATTGCTCAGCAAGCTTGAGCATCCAAGAAGGATGCTGCATATTAGGATCCGAACAGCTCATAAAAAGGAGGTAATGTTTTAGAAATGGACCATGTTTAATCAATCACTCAGCTTCAGTTCCTTTCAGCTCCCTCCTCAGCTGACACTCCCCACCCCTCAGGGAATGCTTTCCCTCAGAGTACCCATAATCATGATCGAGCACTTACCTTTGGTCCAGGAGGCCCAGGTAAACCCTGTAGAAGTAAGAAGGTGAGTGAGTGAGGTTAGTCATGTTCACAATGGAGTCTGAAGCAGAGGGCCCCAGATAGCTTCAGGGTACCCTGGAGGGTAACTAAAACCTAGGGAGTGCACATGGGGACAGCAAGCTAGCATCTCCAATTGGAGCCATGTGGGCACTGTGGGCAACTGTGCTGTGCTCGCCCACTGGAAAGTAGGTTGCTGGCCTGGGGCTAAATTGGCAATGTGGCTTAGTAAAGATCCTTTACCTCCTAATTTAGGCCCCTTGCTGGAACACTGACCTTGCCCAACAAAGCCCTGATCTTGCCCTTGGCCCTGAATCCCTGAAGAAGAGACTATTGGCCCACCTCTGCCTCGAGGTAACCACAGCAGCTGGCCATGCTGTGGGTACAGGGGCCTGTGGGTACCAAGGGATTGGCCAGGGGTGGCTGAGTACTATAGTCTTGGGCAGAGATCTAGGCAATAAACGTGGGCTGGAGAAAACCAGTAAGTTTAGGTCCATTCTGTTTCCATGGCTGTAAAAGATACTCAGGGTTTATTCCTTTATAAACAATCCAAGAAAAAACAAGGAAACAAACAATACACCTAGCTGCCATGCGTACAGCGAGAGACCAGTACTGGGTCTGAGGGTGGTAGTTGGCAAAACAGTGAATGTGGGGCACTTTGGAGGCAGTTTTCTAAATTCATTTCCTTCCAGGTTTCTGTTTTCCTATTGACAACCTGATGGAGGTGAGACCTCCCCACAGCCACACCGCAGTCCTGGAGGTAAAATTCTGTAAATATGCCTTTTGGGAACCAACTAAGCCAGCTATGAGCTGTCTCTATTGTGCAGCCCTCCTAGCCCCGTGGGAGATTACAGTGGCCAGAGCTGCTGCCCAGTTCACAGGGACTTCCACAAAGTCTTGAGATGGTTAAATGTCAGAGCAGCCAAAGGGCCTGGGCACGAACTTGAGTGACTTTGATGTCACCTCTTACAAGCTACTTAGAAGACATCATCAGCATTATACACATATACTTTTGCTGTATTGTTGCTTCAGAGGACATGGTGTTGGCCAGAGTTTGAAAATGAGTGAGCTGGGGAATGGATCTGTCCCTTGAAGGGGACGCTCATGGCACCCTTCCCTAGCAGTGACACTACTAGTCCTCAGGCCCCAGGATGCAGGACCCCACTGACTGGGCAGCTTGCCTGGAAGGTGGTCCAGCAGTGTGGATTCTGCATTTACCTAGAAAGACTTAGACAACAGAGGCCACTTCAGTACCTGCCCTGACCAGGGACCAGGGACAGGTGCCAAAGGCCCTTCAGACTTTTCCCAGTCATTCTGCAGTGACATAAGGTAGTAGCTTATTAGAGTGCCCACTGGGACCACGATTGACACCGCCCTGTAGGCATGATGGTAGAACTGGGAGGACAAAGGGGAGCAGGGTCTCAGGCATGGGCAGCTCCTCACAGAGATCACCCATGGTTAGGTCCTTGACAAAATATTTCTGTCATTCGAGGTTTGGAAGTTTCTGGAGACTTCTAGAGATACTTACAGGGGGCCCTATGGGCCCTGGCAGTCCTGGGTGTCCCAGAGGGCCACTTGGTCCTGGGGGGCCTGGTGGCCCTGGAGGGCCTTGGATGCCAGCCTGGCCTTGTTCCCCCTGAAGTTGGAGAAAACATGCATTAGAGAGAAGGTCTTAGAGCAGCGGTCAGATCCTCCCCAACCATGTGGCATGCATCTGTGGGGGCCTCTGTGGACCCTGCTGGGAGTGCAGTGGGGACAGTGGGTGGATGGTGAGGGAGGGTAGTGATGCCGTGGTAGCGGTGATGGCGACCGCATGCAGGGGCTAATGGCAGCAAGGAGAGGACAAAGGCATCAGGTTGCTGAGGTGTGGGGGCTTCTAGAGGTCTCCAGGGCAGAGGGCCTGGCAGTAATGGCAGAGAGAGAAAGTGAGTGAGAGATGACCCCTGGCCTGATGCCTGAGCTCAGTCCCGGTGGTCTGCAGGCTGCCTCTACCACTCTCTTAAAGTAACAAGTTTATCATGAGGCTTGGCCTTCCAGCCACAGGATGGAAGCATTGGGTCCTTGTTTGCTGTCTTAGCATTTGCTGCTTTTGATTATCTGTTCTAGGGAGATCAAATGAAACCCTAGGTCAGAGGCCACAGGGGTTTGTCTGGCTCACCACTACTCGGCTGAGCAGGGCTCGTCAGCCAACTCCTTGTTCTTTGGAAGTGGCCTCCAAGCACCATCTGCTAAATGCATTGGTCAGCACCAGCTCTTACATAAGCTTCCCCTTTCCGCTAACTTGAGACCATCTTGTGTAATGTGCATAATCAGTACAGATTTATCAATAGGAAACTGGTAAGCCTTCTCATTGTCCCATGATGGCTGATGGTATAAAACCCTAACCCCACCCCCACCCCAACCCTGCCCCAGGGCATCTGCATCAGCCATGAGGGCAACTCCTGCTGGCTCTGCTTTGGAAACCAGGTCAAGGCAGTATAGAATAGTCTTGTCTGGCCACCTCTTTGTCTTGGGCCATAGTTACAGCAACAGATGGTGGCTAGATCTACTCCTGGACCCACTAGGGAAGTGATTCTCAACCTGTGGGTCATGACCCCTTTGGGAGTCACATATTCAGATATCCTGCATATTATATATTTACATTCTGACTCATAACAGCAGCAAAATTATGAAGTAGCAACAAAATAGTTTTATGGTTGGGGGTCACCACAACATGAGAAACTGTATGAAAGGGTCACAGCACTAGGAAGGTTGAGAAATAATGCTCTAGGGTCTTCTGCCAGCTGGAAATGAGGAAGAATATGACCCACATGGAGCTGGGATGCAGCTTACACAAGATAACTGTGTGTGTGCATATGCACATATGTATGTGGAGGACAGACATCAATCGTGGGTACCATTCCTTGGGGGCTGTCCTTATTTCTTTTCAGACAGGGTCTCTCACTGGGACCTGGAGGTCACTGGTTAGGCTAAGGTGGCTTGGTCAGAGAGCCCTGGGGACTTTCCTATCTTTCCCATCCAAGGGCTGGGATTACAAGTATGTGCTTGGAGGTCCAAACTCATGGCTTCCTTCTTGCCCAACAGGCACTTTACTGACTAAGCCACTCTTTGCAATTCATCAAGCAGTGTGCTTACAGTAGGAGATAGAACACAGTAAATGTCCATCAAACAGTGGCAAGTGCAAGCAAGGCTACACAATGACTGTGTGTGTGTGTGGGGGGGTGTCATATTCAGGAGCACTAACTCAGCTTTCCTCAAGCAGGTCCTGTCTGCAGCAGGATAAGCGGCCTTGAATGGGCCTGGCCTTGCTTTGAGCTGCCAGCAGTCTCCCGAGCAAGCCTTGGAGCCCTGGAGGCTCTCGAGGATTTTGGTGGGGGTAATGTGATCCGCAGCTTACAAGAATGGGCTGAATGCTTAATAGACTGCACATGTATCATGTGACTCTGTATTTTTAGCTGACCACTGAAGTGAGTTTTCAGCCTTATTCAAATCAGGTACTCAAGTATCCATGCTCCTGGGCTATGGACTCAACAGGCAAGTATCTCAAGGCCCTACCACTCCCAGCTCCTCGGGACCCTGGGGACACCTGGGCCATAGAAGGCAGATGAATGGTAAGACAGACTGCCCCTGGCCTCATGTGACCTCAGACAGCATGGGCAATGATGCTTTGTCCCTGGAGACCTGCTCCTGACCAAGCCTCCTTGGAGGCAGGAAGATAGGAAAGAAGCTGTTCGCCTGTTGGCTGTGGGCCTTGCCTCTCTCCCTCTCTCTCAATTTCCAAACACCTTTGTTCCTTACACCCAGGCTCTGGGTGGTCAGACTCAGCAGGCTGTGTGCCTGAGCAGGAAGAGTGTGGGTACAGGTGGCAGAGACCTGGCTCTCACGTCCACTCCACCCTCTTGCTATTCCTGTATCTTGGGCTCGTTCATTCCCTAAGCCTCAATTTCCTTGCCCTGTAACATCCAGGATGCCTGCTCTTCCTGTACAGAGGAGAGAGTTAAGGCACAGTGGGAACATGCAGAGAATCTGGTGTAAGTCCTCGTACTGTGACCTCAGGCAGCTCCCTGAACCTTTCTGAGCCTTTATTTCTGCATCTGCGCAATAAAGACAGGGACTCATAACTCACAAATCACTGAGAGGCTTAACATCAGAATGTCTGGTGGTGATGTCAGGAGTCATGCTGTGATGGGACCTGTGTGCTGTGTATTTCCACTTTTATGGCATCACTGGGCCAATGTCTGTCTAATTTACTGTAACTGTTAGAAGCAGGTTCTGGCAAAGTGGGTAACTCCAGCTGCCCAGTCAGGACCCCAAGATGCGCCAAGCCCCTGGGAAAGCCCCACATGGTATCTACCTGAAAGGTCCGCCTTTTAATGACTGGGGGTGGAGCCAGCCGCACAGAATTGAGGAGAGGCAACAGCTGAGGAGAGACGTGAGTTGGAAGGCCAGAGGGCAGAGGGCAGAGGCCACAGGTATTCAGAATGATGTAGGAAGTCACCAAGAAGGCCAAGTGGAGAGAAGAGGACGAGGGAAAAGAGAGAGATCAGTGTGAATACAGCAGCAGAATAGATCTTGGGGGAGGGGCACCCCTGAGGCTCAACTCAAGGGCAGACACAATGCTGATCTTGCCTTTGGCAGCCTCAGCTGTCTTTTTGAAGGCATGGCTTCATAAGCACCCTGCCTCAGCTCTGGCTACTGGCTAGTAGCCTCCTTGAGTTCCGGAAGAGGGGCTCTCCCTGGCCAGACCCACCTCTGAAACCATGCCAGGCCACTCAGGCCATGTGACACACCACACAACATTGTACTGCCCCACCCAGGCCTGCCAGGTGGACAGTGGCTGCTAGGCTGAGGGTCGGGAGCCACAGAATGAGCTAAATTGGTGCGTGGAGCCAGGCTGGCGTGTGGTCCCTGTGGGTTCCTTTTTGGTAGGACAAGAATGGCTGATGTCAGCGAATCTGAGGACCATGGTCAAGGGAAGCTAAGCCTGGCTCCTGGGGCTGAGTTGGCTGAGGGTGTGGCTTGTGAGGCACTCACTAAGTACTGCTGAGGCCTCATTCTGTGGCTGGCATGCTCAGAAAAGATGTCATGGGAATGGTCAACCACTTCTAGGGGGACAGGCAGCTTCATGGTCGCATTAGCTAACATGATTCTCATTTGTGGTAGTTTCTGCTGCTTTCTGTCTCCCTGCTTGGTTAGGCTGAACTCAAGGAGAGGACTGGAAGGTTAGAACCTGTATGAAGACAAAGACTTTGGGGGATCAGCTGCATATGTTTAAGGCCCCTCAACCCACCAGAGGCCCCTGGGATGGATGTTAAGAGTCACAATCCATCTGGGCGGAAAACACACTCAGCTAGAGAATTAGGAGCCCACTGGGGCCTTCTCAGTTCTGCTGCACACAGGGCAGCTGCTACCCCCTGAGCCATGCAGAGCCCCTTCCTCCCATGCTGGGTAGGTGCAATGTTGAGCTCTGTGTCCAGAAAGTATCTCAGCCAAGAGGGGCTGGGGTCCATCTAGAACCGACAAACCTTTAGGGAAATTATCGGGTTGGAGCGCAGAGCTGCTAGAGTGCCGCTTGGGTGCTCCTGGTTTGGGAGGCAAAGGGGGCAGCAGAGATAGGGTCACACGGAGCAGGAGAGAGAGAGCCCACAGACCTCCTAGCAACCATGCTGGATACCAGGGAACTTCCCACTCACTGCCTAGCCCTTTCCTTTCATGTTAGACTTGCCAGGCTGCCTTGGAGACCTGTCAGCACTCCTACCTCTGCCCACCCCGTGGAAAGCCATCAATCCCCCAGAGGCTCCCTGCTCTCATACTTTCCTTTCAATCAACTTGCCTGCCTGTTGGGTCTTCAAATCTCCCAACCCTGCTTGACTGCAGTCCTTAGACTACTCTTCTGGAACTTCCTATCACTGTTCCCTTCTCTGTTCTTGTGCAGGGGTGAGGGGCAGAGAGCCTGCCCTCCCCTACATCAGCACCCTTGTAGACTCAATGACACACTGCAGAAGGGCTTGCAGATGTGTTGTCTCTGAGCCAGGGGATGCTGTCTTTCTTTTGGGTAATATAACCGTCCTGTAAGCCCATCATTTCAAGTAAGCACAGCTGGCTTTCTATTGTTGTCAGGATCAGGCTGGATGGAACAGCAGGGCCCTAAGTCCCTGAATACGCCTATTCCTACGTCTTAGACACCAAACCTAGCACAGCCTTCCTCTGGTCCAAGGACCCAGATGTCAGGGACTGGCATGGTTTTCTGTGTCCTGTGAGCACTGGTAGAGGCTTGCCATGTTAGCCATACCATCCCAGAGACTCTGGAGAGTCAAGTACCTTCTGAGCCTGGTTTGTGGTGGGGGGGGGGATGGGGGAGTGTGATGGGCTCTACCCCACCTGGCTTTAGTAACAGCTAGGGCAACAGACTGTGTGTTTCTGAGTACACTGTAGTCCCTGTAGATGAAAGGTCACCTAAGATGATCTTCATCATACTTTATAGGTTGTTTTACTGTGTCCCATTGGGGCTTCAGGGAGGAATCAGGGAAGGACTGTGCTGTCAGGGCACAATTGAACATTGGGTTCCATATACTTAGAGGAAGCCAGGAAAAGACAGGGTCAGGAGGGGTAGGGGAGGAGCCATCTCAGCCCAGAAAACATCCTACCCCCACCATAATGCTCCTGCTGAGAAGGGTTTCCTGTGTTCCCAACAAGCAAGATGACACTGCCTCCAAGGATGCAGTGGCCAGATGATCTCCCCTCCTGGAGATGTGGGTCATCTGAAACCATGACTAACTCAAAAGCCCCTCATATTTGTCCAGGACTGCCAGACATACGGAACACACACACACACACACACACACACACACACACACACACACACACACACACACTATCCCACAGGGCAGAGACACACACACACTATCCCACAGGGCAGAGAGACAACAGCCAGACCCATTCAGACACACATTCAGACTCTCAGATACTTGTTCAGCAGACAAACAAGGTCATAGGAGTCTGGCTCCATGCAAATGTGCTGAAAGCAAGTCATTGCTGTAGGGTGGAGCACACTGCACCTTACACACAGGGTTGTGGGTTCCTCCTCACCCCACCCCCAGGGCAGTGACCCAGCTTCAGGATGGCTCAAAGAGCACCCTTAGCTTGAAGCATCACTTACCCGGTGTGGGTACTCGCCACACTGACCCTAGAGAAGAAAGAGAGAGGCATTAGGCACTTAATACAGGGATCTGTACCCCCTTAACACACCATGTATCTCCTCACCTGCTGGTACCACTTTCTGCTCTGGGCCCTCTGAGATGAAGTGGACCCCTCTCCCTGGCTCCTAACAGGAAGAACCCCTTGGGCCTGCCTGGAGCAGGCTCCATGGGGCACAGGGGTAGGACTACATGCCACCTGCCATGATGGTAGGATTAACAATATGTCCAGCTCAGTTGTCAGTCCATACTCTGGGTTAATTCCCAATAACCTTCATGGGGCCAACAGATTCTACAACAGCTTGTGGCTAGCAGGGCTCTGGGACGACCTCCCCTAAACCAAGAGTGCCAGGCTCCTGCACCACTGTCCAGAAGTAAATCTTGGTCCGAAAGTGAAGAAGACAGAGAATGTAGAAGGTCAGGGAAAAGTTAGGCCAGCAGGGTTCTAAGTTCATATCACAGAATGAAGGAACCCTGTGAGATAGCAGGGGGACAGGGCCAAACTGCATGAATCCATGTCACAGAGTGAAGGACCAGTGTGATGACAGGTAGACAGGGCCAAACCTATGCAGGTCTTCAGACTTGAGACCCACAGTGGGAGAGTGCCATTGTTTTTCCTTTACATACTAGGTATCTCAGGTCTGGAAGTGGCCACTCTGACGGCTTTCTGCCTGATGGAAGGCTTTGGCCCTGGTGCAGGCCTAGGACATCAACAGCACTTACCTTTTCTCCCTTTTGTCCCTGAGGGCCCTACAAAGAGAAGGAAATGACAGTGTCAGAGCTCAAATCCCAGGCCACATGGTCCCCAACCTCCCTGCTGGAGACAAGGAAGGGAGCTACCGACCGGCTGTCCTCGGGGACCCACCAGGCCCTGTGGAAGAAAACACATATGTCAGTGGGTGGGTAGATCAGAGACACATGCCTGGTTGAGTTGAGACAGATATTAGACTTCTAGGTACTTCTCAGACTGTCCCAAAGTCCTACAGGACAGCTCTGCCTATGTCCAACTGTCTAAGGTGAAAAGCCTTATATGCTGAGCCTCAGTGGGTGTGACCAGTTGGTCCCTGTCCCCTTCACTCATTTCTCCAGCCACTGACATCTCAAGGGCCCTCTGCATGGGAGGCTTAGATGTTAAAGGACCCTACAGCCTGCACCTGGAGGCCTCAGGAGGCCCCCAATATAGCCTGTTTCCTACTACCACTAAACCAGAAAGCCTTGTGTTGTGGAATATTATTATTGTTGTTGTTGTGGAATATTATTTTAAGATGTGTTACATTTGTTTATGCTGTGGAACGTTTGTTTTAATGATGCAAAGATGTGTTGCATTCTTTTATGCTGCATTTGTTTAACTCTGAAGCTGTGATTCTTTGCCTGTCTGAAACACCTGATTGGTCTAATAAAGAGCCGAATGGCCAGGAAGGAAAAAGGATAGGTAAGGTTGTCAGGCAGAGAGAAATCTGAGAAGAGGAGTGAGAAGAGGAGGGGAATATGCAAGGGGCCAGCCACCCCGCTACACAGCAAGCCCCGGAGTAAGAAGAAATGTAAATGGAGTAAAAAGATAGTAATAGCCCAGAGGCAAAAGGTAGATGACATAACTCAAGTTAAGAAAAGCTAGCTAGACATAAGCCAAGCTAAGGCCTGGCATTCATAAGTAAGAATAAGCCTCTGTGTGATTTATTTGGGAGCCGGGTGGTGGGTGCCTTCCCCTCCCCAAAGAGCAAAGAGTAAAAAACAACCAACAACAGGCTTGGGCATGGGTGGAGCAGGTCAGAGCAACAGACTCTAGGTTTTGAGAGGCCAGTGGTGTACAGGAAGCTGGATGGACACCCGAACCCATGTTCTGAGCTCCCTGGAAGGCACAAGGGGACTCGGCATTTCTGTCAAGATTGCCTTATCGTGTGGTCCAAGGGAGGAGTGGGACTCCATGTCTGGAGAACTCTGAAGAGATTTCGCTGAAGCCCTGATTGAAGAGGTCCATGCCGATGTGTAGGTAAGAGGGCAGTGCAGACATGTGTGGGCTGACCCCTCTGGGCCAGGCTCTACAGACCCTCACAGGGCCGAAGACGAAGGGGCTGGCATCGCTTCTGCCTCCCAGTGGCAGGACAATGACAATGTTCAGACATGGCTCAGAGTGTGATCGTGGATGGCTAGCCATTTCCAGTCCAACACTGATTTTGAACCCTTGCCTGAGCTTCTGAGGTTGCTGTTAGCCCTGTGCTGGCTTGTGGGGATCACCTGAGTGCCAGTCTTTGGGTCCCTGGGCATCTGTGTGAGTGGCTTCAGTGTGGCAAGACGTAGAAAAGAGTCCCTCTCCTGTTTCAGACTCACAACTGGCTCTACCTCTAAACTAGGAAACTCCAAGCAGGCTCACAATGTGGGGCTTGAGAGTCCTAGGACAGCTCAGGAGAAGCCACTGCAGGAAAAGCAAAGTGCTACCATCTCTAGGGAACAACCCACCGCCACCCTGATGTTAGTGTGTTGGGAAAAGCTCCACTTACGCAGTCTGGGAGAGTAAGCTAGTTACTAGCTGACCTGCTACTCTATGTGGCACCAGTTAAGGGTGACACCTGGATGTCTCCAGTGCAGGAGAAGGGCTTACCACATCTCCCTGCATGATGATGTAGGGTAGTGAGGGGTGTACCATGGTGTGCAGGGGTGGGGGGCTGAAAGTGATAGGTGGACTCTGTCCCTTTGTGGAAGTGAGACCAGGCTGGTTCCCCACCTGTCTCATGAAGGAAAGAAAGTAGGGGGTCTTACCGTCTCCCCTTTAGGTCCGGGGTGGCCCTGGAAGGAAAAGGGTTTCATGTACATTGTTTAAACACTGAAGCCCTTACCCTGCACACTTTCTTAGTATCACTTGTCACTCACTCATCTGCCCAGACCCTGACTTGCAGGTTGACTGGGCCAGGGTTGTAGGACTGCTCTAGGTGAGTGAGCTGGGCAAAGCCCAAGTTGGGGGTCTACTTACCCTAAGAGTCCACTTACCGGCTTGCCATCAAGACCAATGGGACCCTGAAAGAGAAAGGCTAGATGCAAAGGCCATTCCCCAGGTCTCCTGCCCAGGAGGCAGCCTGATCACAGTGTGTTTCATGAAAGCTAATGTTAGGCAGCTGCTCCCCTGGTCCTGCCCCTTAGAACCTCCATGGGTTCCATGGGCAGGGGTTAAAGAACACTCCCATGGCTACTTACTGCCACTGCCCTGGTAGACCTCTCCAGTGGTCTACTGTTGGCCCACATCCTGGTATCAAATGGGATGTATCAGCTGCAAGTTTACTCACTCAGCTCCTGCCAGGCTACCACTAGCTATATGGATGTCTCTGTCTTTTCTTGTAGCAGGAGCCCAGCCCTGAGCTACTGGCCCATTAAAGGTTACAGAGTGGGTCCTTAGTGGCTAGAATCAGGAGGGGAAAATGTGGCCTCGGGGATCATCTTGGTAGGTTCACTTCAACCCAGCCAGGCCCAGGGCCTTCCTATCTCTCCTAATCTGAGCCCTCTGCACTTACCGGAAATCCAGGGAAGCCTCGAGTGCCCGGCTGGCCCTGTGAAAAACAGAGCAGAGAGGATGAGTGAGGAGGGGCGGAGCCAAGCCCATCCTTCGGTTCATCTTTGTGCCCATCCCTGATTCTGTATTATCACCTGTGAGCTGGCTATGGGAAGACGGAAAGGACAAAAAAGGAGCATCATAGCAGAGTTCCTGTAGGGACCAAGTTGGGGAGAAGGAAGGAAACAGGCAACATCCCAGGATACTCCTTACTGCTTGGGCCCCTTGAGCCTTGACATATGAATAGGCAATAATAGACCAATAGGAAAGTCAGGACAGTGGAAGGCTTACTCTGATTTGCAATGAAATCCTGGACCAAATTGGGTTTGTTTTCTTTATTTATAGGCATTGCTCATGGCCACTAATCTAAGGAAGGTTTGGAAGTCTACAGAACTTGACCTTCAAAACTATATGTTTTCAGGCTAGAATGGGTCAGATTGCTCCTACTCTTCAGGCTTCTCCCAGCAGTTGAGAGACATCCAGGCTCATTTCCATAGAGGTGCAGAGTGCCACAGAGATTGTGTGTTTCCTGGCCACAGTCCCAGGGGCTACTGGTCAGGATTCCCACCCAAGCAACTCAGAACTGTGGCTGCAGGTCTGAGAGGGTAGCAGAGAGCTGAGAAACCTGAAGCCTGCTCCCTTGGCTCCACAGGATCCTGCAAGGGTTCCCCTTCCACCCATACCACTCAAGGCTCTAGCAAGATAGCTCAGCAGGTAAAAACACTTACTATAAAGCCTGAAGAATTTAGTGTGGTCCCTGGGGCCCACAGAGTAGAAAGAGAAAACGGACTCCTGCAAATTGTCATCATGCATGCTTACACATGCATAAGCACACAGGGCACACACAGATATATGTAATGATAATTTATGGGTTTTTTTTTTTGTTTTTTGTTTTTTTTCAAAGACAGGGTCTCACTATGTATCCCTGGCTGTCCTGGAACTTACTCTGTAGACCAGGCTGGCCTCAGACTCACAGAGATCCATCTGCCTCTGCCTCCTAAGTGCTGGAATTAAACGTGTGCACAAATACACCTTCATAATTGTTTGTTTGTTTGCTTTAAAGATGAACATATCCTTTACTCCATCCCTGTGACCTTGTTACCTCCCTTTCTGTCTCCTCCAGGCCTCTCCATCTGCCCAGAACAGTGGCTCACCTACTTTTCCTGAAACACATGCCAGCTATCAGCTTGGGATCCCCTCAGCTTACATGGCAGAGCCTCTTTGCAAGTAGGGACTGTTGGGTCTGGCAGGCTGAGTTCTAATGCAGCCTTCATCCACAACTGTGTAATGCCAAGACATTGTCTAACCTCCACAAGCCTCAGTTTCCCCATCCCTAGAATGGGAATAACCATGTAATCTTATTAGGCCACATAACTACCACAAATTCTGCTTGTAATGCCTCTGGAAATAGAAGTGCTACCATGGGCACTTGTTGAATTAAGCTGGCCAGAGGTGTACCATAAACCAGCCAGACTGCTTGTGTTTATTGTATGCCTGCATACATGTTTGTGTGTGTGTGTGTGTGTGTGTGTGTGTGTATGTTCATGCAAATGCAGGTATGAGTCTAGAGGTCAGACTCCAATGTCAAATGTCTTCCTCTATTGTTCTTCACATGAGTTTTAAGGCAGTGTGTCTTTGCAGAACCCATCGCTCACTGATTTGGCTAGACTAACTAGTTAGTCATTTCCAAGGATCTTCCTGTCTCCATTTCCGGTGCTGTGGTTACAGACACATGCCTGGATTTTAAAGTGTATGATGGAGACCTGAACTTAGGTGCTCACTGTCCACAAGGCAAGCATTACCCACTGAGCCATCTCCCCAGTGTCTTGGGATCAATGGAAGTTTTAATCAAGTAGTTCAGGAACAGAACCCAGAGCAGGGGACAACGTCTCTAGACTTGTATGCTGTGACCCTGAAATATTTCCAGGCTCCCTGGATCCTTCCTGGATCTGTGCATGGAGGTATCCAGAGGCCTCTGCACAGGTGCCATGTCACCTATGGCCAGGTGGCATAGGACACCCTTGCCATGTCAGTGTCCACAGGGAACTAACTAGCTGAAGTCAGCTGCAGGCCCATGATGGACTTGGGCAAGTGTCCAAAGGCAAGAGAGTGGTGACACCACTCATATGTCAGAGGGCCCTGGCCTCTGCCCTTTCAAGGATAAGGGTTGCTAAGAATAGGCCTAAGGAGAAACCCGGAAACTGTTGCAATGTTATCTCTGAAACCTCCTGATGTAAACTTTCTGTAACTGCTTTGAACACAGAGGAAGAGGTCAGGAGGAAAGGATTCCAAGAAGCATCTTCATGGCCATCTTAGCTGATATTTACATGGCTAGGATAATCACATGTTCTGCTAATTACAGTGCTGGCTCTGGTAAGCAGTGTGCATCCCTCCAAACCAGGGCCAAGTCTGGGACTAACCGAGGCTTTTTCAAGACTCTGGGGAGGAGCGCTGTCACTGACCACATAGAAATGGGATTCTACTTCCTGGAGAGTTTGGGCATGGACAGGGCAATTGGGGAGTCTTATAACTGAACTGTAATTTACATCTCAATTTATGCTGAGTTTACGGCCTCTTCCAGTGTTTTCTGGTCATACTGATTCCAGGCTGGGGAGCTGGCTGTTTGAGGCAATGTATTATTATGGTGTATACTTTAATATGTTAGACTAGCATTATATATTATTTATGTAATATGTATTATGTAAAGAGTATAAATAAGCACATATATTTGAGACAGGATCTATGTTGCCCAGTCTGGCCCTGAACTCCTGAGCTCAAGTGATCCTCCTGTCTCAGCCTCCTGAGTAGCTGGGATGGCAGGCTTCTCAATGCCTGGCTTACACTAATCTTTTCTGTAAGGTTGATCATCTTTTCTGGCCTGGTCTGAGTACAGCTATTTGTTAAGAACAGCTCCTTGCAAATGCCACCTAACTCACCTTGTCTTTGAAGTGTTTATTGTTGTCTCTGAATTGGTCAGCTAGAATTGTCATGTTTAGACAGATAAAATTTCCCTGTGGCTTCTGGGTTTTCTGCCATGTTCAAAGAGGTCTTATTGGGAATTATAAAGCATGTATTCATGTTTTGCTCATATAGTTCATGGTTTCATGTTTGACCATGCTCAGATTACCTCAAAATATCTTATTCATTGGCATCTGTCTTGATAGATTGGGTAGGATAGAGATTCACTATCAAGAAAGAGTCAGGGGCTGGCTCCACTGGTAAAGCCCTTGCTTCATACACTGATGATCTGAATTTGATCCCTGAAATGTGTGGAAAGGCAGAAGGAGAGAGCAGCCTCCATGAAGCGGTCCTCTGATCCCCATATGGCGTGCATCGCAGCTGGCACGCACACACACACACACACACACACACACACACACACACAGAGAGAGAGAGAGAGAGAGAGAGAGAGAGAGAATCAAAGTTTCTATTTGCCTCTTCCCCCAGGGAAGAGGCAAATGCCACATGCCACAACACCCATTTCAGAACAATATGCCTTTCTCTTCCTACTGTTAAATGACACTTTTATCATAAAGCAAATTCCCACGGGCATTTGGTTTGTTTTTTTGGTCCTTCTCTTCTGTACTAGCCATTTGTCCGTTGCCCTGTTCTTTTTTTCCCTCACAAAGTCATGATCTTACTTTTTTTTCTCCTGAATGAACTTCGCCATCTGATTGGACACCAGTGCTGGCAGCATTCACCAGGATGAGGCACACATTAATAACATTTATGCATAAAGGATCTATATATGAAAAGGGAAAATAAGCTACATCCACCCATCCCTGAAATTCATCTTGCTCTGAGGCACCTCCCCTCCCTGGCAACATCTACCCCTGCTCCTGGGAAGGGCACTGCCATGCACTGTGTGACTTAGAAGTGTGTGGTGTCCAAGACTTCTCTCTTCTAAAATTCATTTTGATCATCACCCAAACCCACCATGTCCACTCCCAATGGCATGTACAGGAACATCTCTCTCTCTCTCTCTCTCTCTCTCTCTCTCTCTCTCTCTCTCTCTCTCTCTCTCTCTGTGTGTGTGTGTGTGTGTGTGTGTGTGTGTGTGTCTATATGTGTATGGATGGATGGATGGGTGGATGGATGGATACAACCATAGCCTGGACCAGGCCATTTAAACAGCACTCACGGTCACTTCCATTCAATGTGCTCCCACTGAGCACAGGGACAGGCTACCTCTGTGAGCTGTGTACTATTGTGTCCCTCATCCACTTGCTACAACCCTATAGGCCCCTATGGCCTTGGGATACAGTTCCTGAACATCTTGTGGAGTCCTTCATGCAAAGCCCTCTCCAGCCTCTTTCTTGCTTTCCCATTCAGTCCTTTTTCTAGGTGTTTCTCCTAGCTCAGGAGCTTGACACCCCTCCTGACCCTCTTTCCCTGAGTGGACTCTGTAAGACCTTGGATGCAGTTCAGTTATCCCTTCCTCCTAAAGCCTTTCCTTCCTGGACTGTCCTGATCCCGGTGGTTTCCTTCCTCTGTGTCCCTTCTACAAATGAGATTGCTATCGTGGGCCTGGAGGGCAAGCAGGCAGCATCCCATCATCCACCCCAAACCTGGCAGCTCTAGGTTCCTGACAGTATGTGTGGGCAGCTCCTTGAGGGTGAGGATGGGAGCTCAGGTCCTTCCTACTGATCCCCGAAGAGCAGCTGGGGAGCTCCTGCGAGGGATGGGCCCCTTGACATGCAGTCATCCCTAGCTTGGCCATGACCTGCCAATACCTTGGGGTCTGGTCTCCCACTCTGTTTCACGGGGCTTCCATGAGGACACCCAGCCACTAGGTTCTAACTCCTTGTCACTGGAATGGGAGTCATCCTTCTCCAAGTGCCTGGATGGACCCTTTTGCTTGAACTCTTGATCAGCAGAGTGGGCAGGGGGCCCTTCAGAATGGCCAGGCTGGAACCAGGGCAGTGGTGGCACATGCCTTTAATCCCAGTGCTAGGGAAGCAGAGGCAGGTGGATCTCTGTGATTTCCAGGACAGCCAAGGCTACACAGAGAAACCCTCTCTCAAAAGAACTAAACAACAACAACAAAACTTAGTTCTAGGATAGCCAGAGCTATTACCCAGAGAAACCCTGTCTCAAAAACCAAAAACCAAAACAAGCAAACCAACAAAAAAGGTGACAAGGCTGGTTCTGACCAGCAGTATTTATTCTGGATCCTTCCTGATGGAGTAGAAAGCCACATGTCCTCATGTCTGCAGCTGCCACCTAAGACTTGCCTACTTGACCTCTGCTCTTAATGTCAAGCAGGCCTTTTGTCTGCCTATCTCCTGCTTCCACAGCAGGTGCAGCTGAAGGGCAGCTTGGTGTCTGGTAAGGACTCAGAGTGGTGCGGCCTTCTGGTTAATGTCGGAGGACTCTGGGCAGGGTCAGGACACCAAATGTCACAAAACCAATGGAGGCACCAACAAGGACCATCATCTCCCCCTCAAGGTGAAGATCCTTTATAGACAGTGATGCTGTGAGTGGAAGGGGCTGTTGGGACAGAATCTCACTGATCGCTCATGAGTCTGATAATCAATGTGGGCACGAGATTCTCAGGTTCGTCCTGGTGTGCTGAGGTGTGGGGAAAGGATACCTCCTGCCTGTTCTGGAGGCCTAGCATGTGATTGGTGCCTGTGAATTAGTCACTGTGACTACTTGTTCCTCTACTCCAGCAGGTCACAACCCTTTTGGGGGTCACATATCAGATGTCCCGCATATCAGATGTTTACATTACTATCTGTACCGGTAGTAAAATTACAGTTATGAAGTAGCAATGAGACGATGTTATGGCTGGGGGTCACCACAGCGTGAGGAACTCTATTAAAGCGTAGCAGCACTAGGAAGCTTGGGAACCACTGCCCTATTCACTGCACGTTCCCCCTAGCCCACTCTCTCATTGTGTTCCCTGCTACCCCTGCTCCCTCATCACATGGAAAGTTCATGACCACACAGGACCCTGGCCAAACCCCTTCTCCTCTATCAGAGAGGCTGTGAATTCCTGACCCCTCCCTGACACTGGTTCCATTAAAGCTGTGTGAGTGGGTACCTTGGGATCCCATTCCTCCTTCTACCCATAGCTGTGCTATCTTGCTGAATCCATCACCCACATGCTAGGCAGTCCCTAAGGAAGCAAGTCAGAGGGAGGTCAAGAGGTGCTAGTTAACGCCCAGGACCTGGTACTACAGTGAGAAGGAGGCTTGGAGCATGGAAGGTGGGTTAGGGTTTCATTAGAACCAGGCGTGGGTGCTGGGGTCAGTGAACCCGGACTATGTCATCTTTTCCTGCCTTTGGGAAGCAGAGATTAGTTTCAAAGAAAGCTGGGGCACCCACTCAAGGCAGGAGGCACTTGTCCCTTGCGTAAACAACAGCTACCACCTCTCCTGCCTCCCAGCTGCTGGAGTTTTGTGGCCAGAGGCTAGGCCCTGGAGCCCTCCCAGGAGGCAGTAATTTAGGTATATTTAGTCAGCCCACTTTCTTTAACATCAGTAGCAATGCTGGAGACCAACAGGGCTGACCACAACACATGAAATGGCCACACCCAGAAGCCCACGCCAAGGCTCACCCTTATCCCCCAAAAGCTCTCTTCATTAAGTTTCCCAACCTCCATGCCCCCGAAAGAAGAACAACAACTTACAGGGGGGCCTCGAGGCCCGATGATGGACATCCCTGCATCTCCAGGAGCGCCCTGTAGGGAGACAGAGGATGGGTGGAAGGGTAGATGGAGGGGAAAGTAGTGTGAAAGAGTGCAAAGGGGACAGGGGACCTGGCATTTGGGAGAGGAGATGCTACTCCATAGAGCAAAGGGAGGCCAGGGATCAGTTGGAAACGGGGAGCCCAAAGATAATGATTAGAACATTCTAGAGGACAAGATGAAGGCAGTAGGAAGCATCAGACATGAAGAGATGTGGGTGGGAGAGGTCAATGGGTTCAAAAGTGCAGAGAGCAGGGTCCATGACACTAAGGGGCAGGAGGGAGACACAGGAGAAGGTGTCTCAGCAGTGGCATTCCACCTATTTCAATACACCCTACCATTGATTGTTAAACAGGGTTACAAGAACAAACAGGTCATACAACACCCTGGCTATGTGGGCCCAGCAGCCTTGAGCCCAAAGGCTGAACATCCCAGAGAATGCCACAGAAGAACAAAGGCTGAGCCAGGGCTGAGCCCCTACAGCATGTCCCAGAGCCACTTGGCTGAGAGTCCCAGGTGATAAACACAGGGTTTGTAGGTGCAGGGGTCCCCACCAGGACTCCATAGCAAAGGCAAGAAGGGAATGAAGAAAAAGCCCAGGACCCGGAATTAAAGTCGAGGCAGCTTCCTGAGCTCACACAATCCCTGAGAGCTGGAGCTTGGAATGTTCTGCAGTCCTTGTGCGGAAGGGACTGAAAGACATTTTAAGGGACTGAAAGACATTTTGTTAAAATCTTACCTCACATACAGGTAGCAGTGATTTTAAGCCAATAATTGTAGTACTGTGAAGGGGTAGGCACGGCTTAGGGCAAAATGCATGCTTTGAAGGGGAACGCTGCTCCTTAGCAGGTGTGTGATTTGAGACAAGCTAATTAACCTCCCCCTTGAAGTCACAGCACACAGAGCGGATATCCAGCTCTGTCACTTTCTAGCTGTGTGACAATGGACATTCGACTTTCCTTCTCTGTGCCTAGTCACAGAGGAAGAGCAAAGTTTCCAGGAAGGGCTGTCAGCATTAACTGGGCCAATAGGAACACTTAAGAGTGCCTGAGGCTGGAGTGTGCAGAACCTTGGATCAGCTATTATTGTTAGCATTTGTTGTTACATTGGGGATGGGATACTCTGTTGCAGAAGCAGTGTGGGGGTGAGGTGGGGGGTGTGGGTCTCATGCCTGTAATCTCAGCTCTCAGCAGGCAGAAGCAGGAGATAGGAAGAACATTATGAGTTTTAGGTCAGCCTGGGCTACACAGTGAGTTCTAGCCTAGCCTAAGCTACAAATCAAATCCTGTATTAAAACGGGGGAGGGGCAGAACAAAAAAGGTCCACAGTACTAACATGCCCAGTATCTGCAAGAAGGGAAGAAAACCAGAGGACCAGGAATCCCTTGCTAATGTTACAGCTGGGGGTATCAGACAAAGCCAGCTTTGCCTGATTCTTACTTTCTCTTCTGTTTGGATAGGTTATGCTTTGAAATCTCCACAACCTGCCACATTGCTGTTTCAGGATGCCCCCCTCCCTATGCTTGCCCCCCTCCCAGAAGTACTGGCTTCCTAGGCAGGGTGGAGGGTCCTCTCTGTGACTCTGTACCCCACCCTGGGCAGTCCCAGCCACACAGCAATGGCAGGCCAGTCTTTTCTTTGGCGGTGGGGTGGGGTGGGATGACAGCCCATAGCTAGGAATCAGAGCAGTGGGATCCATGGCATGTGGTTACTGCAAGTTCCGGCAGACTCACTGAAGTGGGGCAGCTGGGATCTTGCTTGGGCATCCCAGGGCTCCACACCAGGGTGTGGAGGATGTTAGCCTGAAAGCCTCCCCGTAAGAGACAAGACTGGGGTAAAGGTGGAGGGGACAGCAAGGACTCACCTTCTCTCCTGGTTGACCTTTGACACCCTGGGCAGGCAGCCCACGAAACACATGGCATGGGGTAAATTGGAGGGGGGGCATGGAGAGAAAAAAGAGGATGAGAGACAGACATGGACAAAGGATCCATGTTAACGGCACAGCAACTGAACAAAAGAAATCACCGTGAAATAAGAAACACAGTGCAACAAGACACAGATGCAGACACAGGACAGCCATCGCAGCCAGCAAGCATGGCCAGCTGCTCTACATCATTAGGAGAGAAGCAGGGGAGCTTGTCCAAGTTCTGTGTGCACACTGTGAGTGAGCAAGTGAGTGAATGAGTGACACACACACACACACACACACACACACACACAGAGAGAGAGAGAGAGAGAGAGAGAGAGAGAGAGAGAGAGAGCCTCCCAACCCAGTCAGAAAACCTCCCTGAGTGGTCCAATGGCTATGGGCAGGTCTGGGAAGTAGTTCCGGAGGCCCACGATCATGACCCAGGATCTCTGAAGGTCCCTCTGAACACTAAATACAGAGCCTTGTAGCACTTTATATTTAGAGAAGGAACACTGGAACCTTTAGGGCTACCCATGCCAGATAGAGGGAAAGCCAGAGACATGGGGTGGGGGTGGAGGACAGAAAGTGGCTACTGGGCTTGAGTGCTTTGGGCCTGTAATCCCAAGCAGGAGACTGAAGCAAGAAGAATACAAGTTCAAAGCCTGCCTGAGCTAGAGAGTGAGTTCAAGGCCAGCTAGGGCCAACTTAGTGGGAAAGATAAAGAGGACTGGACTCTGGTAGCATACTTGCCTCATAAGCTCAAAGCCCTATCTATATTCAATCACCACTACTACAAAAAATGATGGCAGTGGTTGGAAGCAGTAGGTACAAATTATGCAAGGATGGAGGGTGAGTATAAAAGAAAGCTGAATACCCAGCCAGGGGTCCCTTGTCACCAAGGTAGCCAATGGATAGGTATCTTCAATCTACCCAGCTCCCAATGGACCAGTGGCGCCACCTTTGGTGAAGTATGGAAATGCCCCAGGAATTTTACACCTTCTAGTCATTGGATATGCCAGTCCTTATCAAGAGACTTTTGCCAGGACCCCTAGTGAGTAGCCAAATGGGCCATCCCACATTGAAAATAGCACCAGCAGTGGGAAGCTACAAAGTGGCTAGAAGGGAGATTTGCCCAGGAGGTGGGAGGGTTCCAGAGGCTCCCCTACTTCACCCCATTGCCACTAAGCAGGAAGCTCTGCTGGAGGGCGGGGGGGGGGGGGATAGCTGGAAGTACATTTTGCACTCAGCAGGACTTCCTGCAGGCCAGCTGCTGCACCCTGGGGGAGAAAAGCTCCCAACACTTACCTAAGAGGAGCAAGACCATAGGTCAGTTGGCTTGGGTACAGGATCAGTCCCGCCCCCTTCCTGGGTAAATTTTACCCATGAAATGGGATCTTTATGGCTGTAGCAGAGGCTGTGCTTCACTTCGTGGAAGGACGGAAGGGTAATGTCTCTTCTCTGCATATAGACCCAGTGTCTAATGGGTGGACTGATGGAGCAGAACCACAAAGCAGGCAAAATGCCCAGTGTCTTGGTCCAGAATTAGTGTGAGGACTTCATGGAGGGAGCCAGGTCTCCCACACTCCAACAGGCCTTGGTAGCCTTATGATACTGAAGAATGGCACAACGCTGTTTGTACTCACTGACTGTTTTTCCAGCCTTGTTGACTGTGTGTGTGACAGGAGGGTGAGGGGGCAGTGGATAAGAGCTTTGAGGTTGCTGAAGTCCCCATGAGATAATACTTTGGGAAACCCGATGCCAAGAACCTGGTAAATGTCAGACAAAATGGCATTGACTAATATGATTCCTCATACCACGGAGTGGCTTCACAGCTCAGGTTGCATGGAGCACCTGTACTGAACTCTGGAGTGTTCCAGACCCCTGGGGCATCAGTTTAAAGCCCCCTCCTTTCAGCAGTGATATTATGGGTGGACTGCCAGGGTCAAAGGCTCAAATGTGGAGCCTGGTTGCCTGTGCTACTCACTTCCTAATGAACAATCTTGAGAAAGACATTTACCTTCCAAACCTCTGGAGTACTGGGGGTGGGGTGGAGACTGTGCTTCTCAGCATGCAGGTCTCTCAAGGATGGAATGAGCTGATCTGTGAAGGTCTTTGGCTTGGTTCAATACTCAGTGTGATATCAGTACTAGTAAAAGTTGCCTAAGCCTTGGCTACCCCAACTCCATGCTTTCTCCAGCCATGCAAATTCACACACAGATGTCACAGTCATGCTTAAGGCCAATACCATCACAGAGATGAGAGTCATAGGCAAAGCCAGCAATGACGGTGGTGGGAACACGCTGGAGGTGAAGGCTGATGCTGGTGGGTAGTTAGCAGTCAGATGAGGAGGGCAGTCCTGAGTATGGATGTCCTGGCTACATCCTAATTCAGGAATGCCCTTCACCACCTCAGACCTGTCTTTCTAGACCCTGGAGACCTTCATCCTGAGGCTGACAGGACAACCCAGGTGCCAGGGACTCGATGCTTGGATCCAGCCTTCTCATGTCTTCTGCCCAACCACTCTCATCTCCCTTGAACTCTTTCATCACTCCTCACAAGGGGAATATTAACTGTATTCACCTTTATGAGGGCCTAGAGGAACTGCCTGGCACCAAGCCCTGTCTTTAGTACCTCTGAGTGTAGAGTCCATCCGTAGAGGACATCCAGGGGAGATAGTGGTGGCTCTGAGGATGGTTGCATGGACAGCTGGTACCTTGGGATGCTTAGGTATCACTCCATCCTCCTATGTGTTCAGCAATTTTCTTGTATTTTTTTTCCTCTGCTGTCTAGTGTGTTGCAGAGAACTTAGTCCCTGCATCTCCAAGAACAAATCCAAGCCCTCAGGAGGTGGTAGAAACACTGGTATGCACGGGACCTTCTGTATACTGTGTCTTTCGGCACACTAAGAAATTAAAAACGATAGTTTCTATTAAATAGTACAAGTTTGACAGTATTTCCTAAGAGGTTGGGCAGATATCTGTAATATCTGACTAGAAGCTGAAGTTGTGTGTGCAGATGAACTGCAAGATGCTGTTTGGTACAGACTGGAGACTGGGATAACATGTCTTTTCCCTTTTTCCTTGGCTCTCCTGAAGTTGCCCTGGGCAGAACTTCATCATGCATGGAAGACAAGCGATGGAGAAGCAAGGGAAGGCCCCCAAGCAGGGACATGTGGGCCAACTCACCATGCGTCCAGGCATCCCGATGGCACCCTTGTCCCCCTGATGAAGGAGGTGGAAACAATCAATGTGGTTGCCACCTGCCAGAGAGTCCCATGTGCTCACACACCCCTGGCTTGGGGACTCAGCTAGGGAGCTTTGTTCGAGCAGCTGGGACAACATCTGGAGTGGCATTAAGTGTCACATGGATGTCACAGATGAACTGCCCAGAAGATCTCACTAACTAGTGTCAGGACCTTCATGCTTGGATGGAGCCAGACTTCTCATCTCTCACCTGTGGTTCTCTGCACTCAAGCATGACGGTACAGAATAAAGGTTACAGCAGGAGGAGGTCACTAGCCAGGGCCTCAGGTTCCTTAGGTGTCTCCAAGCCCCTTTCTCCCTTAGGCTTGTGTTGTTGCAGCCCATCAGTGACAACCAAAATAGGCCTAGGAGTCATCATCTGTGACTTGAAGGCACATACCCAGACAGAAAGGGGAGTGACTTCCCTGGGTCTGTCTGTCGGAGCCAGGGAAGCAATGCCCATGCTCTCCCACTTCTCCACCCCCTGTTCTGTGTCTCAGCCTGTCCCCTGTCCTCACAGGCTGCTCCAGCATGTGGAATCACATGCTTTGCTTTGTAGCCAGGGTTATTACATCCTCTAGCTCTGGAAATCTGCTTACGAAGTTTCACTTGTCCCCTTTTCAGTAGAAAATATTTTTTTGTAATCATTGGCATGCAGACATCATAAAAATCTGGGGTGGGGCCTCAAAGGATGAGGAATAACAGGGTATAGAAGATGATGTCCAACCTCCTGGACAGAAGATTGCCCTGAAGTTCCCCTAGGGTGTGTGTGATGGGGGAGTTCTGGGGTGACTTTGGATCTGCTGATCCCAAAGAGGCAACCACAGAGACAAAATGCCTCCAGGGATAAGCGTCATCCCAAGACACATGTGGGACACACAAGAAATGCTGTCAGTTCCTGTTAGGCTTACATTGTCATGATCAAGGGCATCTATGAACAAAGCATTCTGCCTTTGCTAAGAATGGTACAGTGCTGGTTATAAGCACCAATCATTTCCCCATCCTCCCTGAGTACCAGCCTCACTGAGTGGGAGATGGGGGATGAAGCTTTGAGGCTGCTGAGGTCCCCATGAGATGCTCCTGCCTTAGGCCAAGAACCTGACACTTGGTAAATGTTAGGCAAAGTGGCATGGGCTAAATAAAGCGGAAGCCCACAACACCATGTGTGGTTCTCTATGCATGTTTACTCTTCCTGTCCTTTACATCCAAAAGCAGGACCAGCACAGGTGTACCTGCTGGTGGGTGTCCTCACAACCCTTTACATGGAGGCTCTGCCCCTCCCACCGAGGGAGGACACATCAGGCCCGTGCCTAAGTCAGCTCTGACTCTGGTGACCTCACAGTCCACTCACACTTAGGCTTTTAAATGACATTACAGGGTGTGTGGCTCTTGGATCATTTTTCCTTTCTTTTGGAAAATAATGTTATTTGCAGCCTTGGCCATAAAATGTTCGGGTTAGGGACAAGCATGGAAAGGCCAGTGGCTGGAAACTCATCAGCATCCTCTGCTCTGAGAATCGCCCCCTAAATGCCTTTTAAAGGTGGAAGTTGTAAGAGAAAAAGTCCGCCCACATTCCTCTCAGTCACCTGATCATTGCTCTGCTTAGATTGCATAGGGACCAAGCCACTGTCTTGCTGAGCTACAGAACTGGGAGAATCTCAGATCTTGAGGCTGAGCCTTCTTCCATGTGTACTTGACTAACGAAAGTTACTGGCCATGAACTGATTCTAGAAGCTGTTGGATTAGTCAAAAAGTTATAATTCACATCCAGAAGGTTCTAGAATCCAATGGAAGTGGTCTTTAGCAAAGGGAGACAGGGAAGACAGGTATCAAAAGTACCCCCTGTAAGCCTTCCATTCCTGGCCTGAATACCTCCTCCCTGCTTAAATACTCCAACACTCATCTATGCCTTAACCCCCTTGATGGCTACAGCATCTTGCCTGAGCCACTCCCTGCTCCAAAGCCCACAGTGTCTATATTCAGTCCTCATCTCATTTATCTAAACAGATAAATCTCTTAGAAAACTTTAAAGATGGTGGCATGGGCCACAAGAAAGTGGTGTGTGATAATCCACTAACAATCCACTATTGATAAACATGGACAGCTTGCACGATGTACTTTACCCTCCTGAATCTGAGCTTTTGTCTTCCCATCACTAAAATGGATTTGGAAATGCTTGATTCTCTAAGTTGTTACTATTTTTCTGTGAGGTATTAAGCAATCATGGCTTGGGATGCTCAGAATTCTCAGCATCCATTAAAGCTCCAGGAAGTGATAGCTATTTAGGTGACCTTTACCCACTTTTGTTCAAAGTCCCTGTGGTTTCTCAGCTTTCATAAGGCAACTGGAGAAAAACAAAGGTTTTGAGTCTACCCTTCACCAGAGGGCATGGGGAGACTAGAACAGTAGTTTGAATGCCATTTGCCATGAAAGAGGATGGTAATGATCCAGGGGTAGGATGGTAATGACCCAGGGGTTGACCAGTTGTCCCAGTCCCTCATTATAAAACTATTCATCTTGACAATAACTCCTGTGTTAGGAGGGTCTGATGCTGGGCCTGCATGCATAATACATTAAGAGGGTTGCAAAAAAAATTGTAGCCAAAGACCCCAGGTATTCTTCAGTGTTGCAAGGTAGATGGCATGGGAGTGGTTTTACCCTCAGCCACAGACTAAAGAGTCCAGAGGGAGGTCACACTTAGAGAATTGTGATAACTCACCACCCAACCCAGACTGAGAAAGGCTGAGTGATGGGGCAGGAGTGTGGCTCAGTGAGAGAGTACTTGAAACATGCCAGTACTCTGGGCTCCATCCCCAGTGCCCACATGGAAAGGAGGCAGAGAGAGAAGAAAAACTACTTACAGGGAGTCCAGGTCTTCCAGTGGGGCCCTGAAATAAAGAGGTGGAGAGTGAACTTGACACAGGTCAGAATTATGAATAGTTAATGGGGTAACATTGCCTCAATCAGCTGTGATCTCAGGACAGGAAACAGAAAGATGATATGTCCCTTCCCATGGCTCAAGGGTCACCAGGGCTTTGCATCTCACTAGCACACCCCAGTCTCTGAACCCTTTTGTCTGGCTCCTTGTGGTTCTCTGGACACCACTTCTACCCATTGGCCCTAACTCAGAAAGGGTAGAGATGAGAGACAGTCAGGGCTCCATGTTCCCTGCTCCACCACATATGAAAAGACAGGAATAGGGCAGAGCCTGCCATCTGCAACGATGCCCCTGGTGCACAGGCCACGTCTATATCTATGATATGGGGCCAGAGAAGGGCAAAACCCATAGAGGATCACGAGGGAGACAGTGGGACTTGCTTTGATGTGTGACATCACATAAGATCATCTACTCAGTGATGGGTCAGCACTGGGGTGGAGGGTGGGGACCATTCTGCCTTCCTGCTTCCAGGAACCCAATAGACAAAAGTCTCCACAATGTGAAAAAGATAAGAATACCAGCTGGGCATATGTCAGCCTAGAGTCATCCTGGCACTTGGGAGGCTGAGGCATGAAGATGATGAAGTCTAGGCCAGCATGGGCTATAGAGTAATACTGTCTCAAAATAAGTACACATGTAAATAAATAGAAATTATCCAACAAACATCCTATCAATTATACTTTCCATCATAGCAATATATACTGGAAATCTCTCAGGAACCCACAAAATCTAGGTAGTAGTGTTTTTCTACAGCTAGACCCTGACCTCATATGGGTTTGACCCAAAAGAGCTGCTGAGGTATTACACTGACAGTTGCCTCCTTCCAAGAGGGGAAGATTTATGAAATACTCTCAGGAGCTAAATCTGCATGGATCAATAGGACTAATATTGAGACAATGGCCATTCTACCAAAAGCAGTCTATAGATTCAATGCAATCCCAATCAAAATACCAATACAATTCTTCACAGAAATTGAAAAAGTAATCTTCAACTTCATATAGAAACACACACACACACCAAACAAACAAACAAACAAACAAACAAAACCCAACAAACAAAAACCAAAAAAATCCAAAAACCTAGAACAGCTAAAACAACCCTGAATGATAGAAGGACTGCTGGAGTATCACCATCCTAGATTCCAGTTGTATTGTAGAGCTGTAGAAATAAAAACAGCATGGCCCTGGCATAAAGAAAGACATGTTGATAATGGAATTGAGCTGATCAATGGAATTGAATTGAAGAGTCAGACTAAGTTTCACACACCTATGGACACCTGATTTTTGACAAAGAAGTAAAAAATAAACAGAAGAAGTAACTTCTTCAACAAACGATACTGGTCAAATTGGATGACTGTGTGTAGAAGAATGAAAATAGATTCATATCTATCACCCTGCACAAAACTCAACTCCAAATGCATCAAGGACTTCAACATAAGACCAGCTGCCCTGAATCTGATAGAACACTAAGACCAACAGTTAATGAATGGGACCTCAAAAAGCTGAGTTTCTATATGACAAAGGACACTGTCGTTCGGGAAAAATAGCAGCCTACAGAGTGGGAAAAGAGCTTTACCAATTGTTCATCTGATAGAGGGTTAGTAGCTAAAATACATAAAGGACTTTTAAAAACCTGAACATCAGGAAACAAATAATCCACTTTTAAAAATGAGGTACAAATCTAAACAGAAAAGTTCTCAAAAGGTGAAACACTAAGAAATGTTCATCATCCTTTGAGATTTCACCTTACCCCAGTTAGAATAGCCAAGATCAATAAAGCAAACAACAGTTTGTGTTGGTGAGGATGTGGAATAAGGGAAACACTCATCCATTGCTGGTGGGAGTGCAACTTGTACAGTCACTTTGGAAATCAGTGTGGCAATTCCTTGGGAAATGGGAATCAATCTACCTGAAGATCCAGTTATAACTCTCTTATGCTCTATATCTTACTATAGAGACACTTACTCATCCGTGTTCATTGCTGCTGTACTCATAATATCCAGAAATTAAAAACAGCCTAGCTGTTCAGCAGCTAATGAATGGATCATGAAAGTGTGGTACATTCACACAATGAAATTACTCAGCTGTTAAGAAAATGAAATTATCAAAGTCACAGATAAATGGATGAAACAAGGAAAACTCATCCTGAGTGAGGTAACCTAGACAAATATTGTATTTTCCTTTTATATGTGGACATTAGCTTTTAAGTTTCCAGTATGTTTGTTTTAATCCAAATAACCACAAAAGTTAGGTGCCTAGTAAAGAATGGGGGCAGGCAGCAGCAGAGAGTATCTCTCAAGGAAGGGGAAATAGAACACAGTGTTATGGGGGGAGGTGGACAAAGGGGAAACCAGAATAGGAGGATTAAAGGGAGAGGGGAATGGGAGGACAGGGTAAAAGAGGGAATAGCAACTAACACCAAAGGCCATTTGAAAATGGTATGGAAACCTACTACTGTAGTAGCTTCTTAAAATATAAACATACATGAATGGAGTCACCAAATAGCAGAGACAACACCTCAGCTAGACATCTTATGACACTGAGTAAAACCTTCAGTCTAGGAATGAGTTATGTATTATTGGATTGTTGGCCAAAGAGGATCCATGGGAATGCCCAACCATCACAAGCTATTGCCAAGCCTATCAGTTGCTCTCCTCAACCTGATGGTAAGGGCCTGTTGCTGAAGACACTTATACAACTGCACACAGAGAAATCAAGCTGGTGTCTAACTAGAATCTTTACCATATTGACTAGTGTTCATGGTACTGGAAGATACTCTGCACATTACTAGAGGAGACAGGTAAACACCAACCCAGTTATGAACCTTGCGACCTACAACAATAACCTGCCTGCAAGATATACTTGTGCAATGGTGGTGCAGATGCTATGGGAGTAACCAACCACAATTTTGGGGGGGATTGGATTTAAAACCCACTCCATGAGTTGAAACACCTGACACTGCTTAGGTGGCCCAAAATCTGAGACTAGTTAGTTTGTGGGCTTAGGGGAAACCTATTTATTATTTTAATAAAGGGTTACAGCAGTAAATGACAAACTGCTATATCCATAGATCAGTGCCTTGTTCAACCCACATCAGAGAAGCTGCTTTTGGAGGTAGGTGGTAACTAACACAGAGACACACAACTGGGCAATATGCATAGAGTGATAGACTCTGGAGCACTCAGTCCTAAATGGAACCCCTCTCCTCAAGGCTTGGGAATCTACATAGAAAGAATCTAAGAGCCAGAGGAAATGGATGATCCCAGGGAAAAAATGTCTCCCTAACACAACAGGACTGGAGCATATGAACACACAGAGACTGTGGCAGCATTCACAAAACATGCATAGGTTCAAGCCAGATAGGGCCCCAGAACTGAGAGGGGAAGTAGACACAAGGTCTCCACCTGTGATCAAGAGTCTATTGGCAATTGATACCCAATGGTAAAGGGAAAATAAGTATTTTCTCCAATGGAGTATTATTGGGTATATCAACCACACTTTGACACAGCCCAGAAGTACTTGGCCAGAATAAAACAAACTCAGGCATTTTTGTGGGCCTTTTGTTTCACTTTGCTCTGTTTAGGCGTTTTTGTTTTTGTTTTTGTTTTGGGGGGGTTCCTTTTCTTTTCTTTTCTTTTTTGTCTTATGGGTCTTTTGTTGGGGACCAAGAGAGGGAGAGAGTCTTTTGCTTGCTTATTTTGATTTTCGTTTTTGTGGGTTTTTTGTATGTGTTTCTTGATTGTTTTTATTTTCATTTCTTGTTTGTCTTTGAAAGTAAGCGAGAGAGAAAAGAACATAAAGTTGGGTTGGTAGGGATGTGGGGAGGATATGGGAGGAATTATGGAAGGGGAAACATGATCCCTGAGCCTGAGCCCTGCCACACAGAGTGGGGTCCAGCACTAGTGGAGGTGTTTCAGGAGCAGAGATAGAATCTTCTGGAACAGGAGCAAGTGCTGTGCAGCCACCTCACCTGTGCTCAGTCTTGGCTCTGCATTTACAATGCCTTCCTTTGCTGAGCTTGAAGATAGGAGAACAGAACTGCACAATCACCTGCCTTTTATGATGACACTGAACTCAGGGACTTGTATAGAGTAACTGCAAAGCAAATGCCAGCATGAGCCATTACCAGAAGGGGACAAGTGGTAAGGCACAGGACCAGGAAAAGCCATGCTCTGTTGAGTGTCCAATACATTGCTACCAAACTATTGACTGAGTTTTTCAAAAAACAAACAAACAAACAAAATGAAAAAACAAACAAACAAGCAAACCTGATTTATCTTTTTGTATGGACCAATAGGGAGCTTGAAGCCAGTTTTCCTGCCTCTTCTGTTCAGTTCCCCATCCTTATTCCCATACCTAGTTTGTTCCAGTTTGCTTCCTATTGCTGTAATAAATGCCATGACCAAGGGGGAGGGTTTATTTGGTTTGCACATTCAAATATCAGCCCATCGTGAAGTCAGGGCAGGAGCTGAAGCCGAGGGGCACTGCTTACTGTTTGCTTCCCATGGCACGCTTAGTTTGTTTTTTTATGATATAACCCAAGACCACCTGCTCTAGGGTAAGATCATCCACAGTGCACTAGGTCCTCTCTCACACCAGTCACTAACCAAGAAAACAACTTGCCAGTTTTTTTCAGCTAAGGGGCCTCTTCCCACATGACCCTAGCTTGTGTCAAGTTGACAGAAACCTAACTATTACATAATTTTAAATCCCTCCCTCCCAAAATGAGGTGGGCTAGAAATAAATAAAATAACAGGAATTATAGATTTTTAAAAATCAGAGAGTGCTGTGTATTCCTATAACTGAAATAATGAGAAGGGGCAGGGGAAGACAGGTTTCTGCCTTGGACACTAGGGTGGGGACAGAGGGGAAGTCTAATTTGCTACCCTTTGCTAATTCCTGCTGCCACATCAATGCATCCTCCACAGTGTGTGCCAACCTTGTGCCCACAGGAACCTGAGTGTCACCACTGGAGTACAGAGCCAGCCCCTAGGAGATAGCCCACAGGGCAGCACATGGTCATCTGTCCAACCCTCACATCTGGCCATCAGCATCCTTCCTCTGCAGGAAGAACCCCCCCCCCCATCTCTCTGCCCCATCCCTCTGTCTTTTTAGTGAGCTGGGCAAGGACCTCTTATGTGCATCAAACTTAGAAGTTCAAAGAACTACCTGCCTTACTCCTTGTGCCACAGCTCAAGTAGGTAGAGACTCTAAGTAGGAACGTGTACCCAACTCCCTTTGCCAGTCTCCAGAATCCAGGAGCGACAGTACCCACTCTAGCTAGGAACATGACAGAAAGGGCATGTTTAGCTCTGTGGATGCTAAAGTTCTTGCCACCTCTGGGGTATCCTCAGAATGAGACAGATGTGGACTCTTGCCAAAAAAAAAAAAAAAAAGAAAAGAGGGATACATGGCCCCATTCCAGCAGGTTGCCTGTCATAGTTCCATTAAAAAAAAAAAAAAAAAAAAAAAAAGACAAAGTCTTAGGTAGCCCAGGCTGGTCTTGAATTCCCTATGTAACTGAGGTTGAACTTGAATTTTGGATCTTCCCGTCTACATCTCCAGGTTCTGAGATTTATGCTGGGGATTAAACCCAGAGCTCCAAGCATGCTAGGACGGCACTCTACCAGCTCAACCATATCCCCAGCCCCTGCCATCCCTTCTGGAAGATATGTGACAGGAATGACCATTTGATGCTGGCAGGATTCTTGGGTATGAGGGCTGGGATTTCAGGGTAATCATGGTGTATTAAATAATGGTCTCTTTAAGGACCAGGTGCACTGGTTTCACAAGCAGGGTACTCTCTTCCTCTGGCTTCCACTGGTTCCTTGCGGTCCCAAAGCCACTTCCTAGCAACTCAGGAGGGAGGAGGTGGGGTAGATTTCAGTAACCTTGAGAAAGATCTGATGTGAAGTGGCTGGGCCCTTTCAGAGTCAGGCTCCAGGTTTTCCCGTACCCTTGGTCTTTTGTAGGGCTATCAAATGCTGTCCCTCAAAGAGTACATGATTCTGGTGTTGGCTCTTTTACCTTAGGGAGGTCTCTGCCCACACTGGGACTAAGGCCCAGAAAGCAGGACATGTTGCCTCTACTGTCACTGCCACCACCAGCCTCAGCTGCCCCTTAGGGCCTGGCCAGAGTGGGGCTGCCCACACAGGGGTGTGGATGGCACTGTGGAGTTCCCCTAGCTTGGAGCTGTGCCCTGACCTGCTTTCTGCACAGGACAAAGACACTGGGGGAGCCTAGCTGGGTAATCTTTCTTCTTTCTGATAGCTACTACTTTGTTGCTATTGTTGTTGTTGGTGGTGGGGGGTGTGTAAGGGAGAGGACCAAAATAGCTAGGTCAAGAAGGAGTACGCCAGTCTTCTAGAATGAAATGAAGACCAGAAGGCCAAAGTGGCCCTTGTCTTGCCCTGAGGAGATGCAGAGTCCTCATCTTTGTGGGACACGGGGAAGGACCCTCCTGAAAGACAGCAGGGGCAGGCTGTCAGTGCTCCACCCAGGGCCCTGTTACCATAGATGACACAGGTCTTTGAGACGCACACACGGGGACCAGCTGCAGCCTGTACTTACAGGAGGTCCTGAAAAAGAGAGAAAAGGGCTGGTCAGTGTCACTGCGCCAGAGGGAGAGGGTGGGGAGGTCACCTTAGAAACAACATCCAAGAATTCTTTGGCAAACGGGTTTCCATCTGGCCTTCAAAGTTCTTTTCCTGGCTCACTCTTGCCAGTGTAATCCATTTCCCCTTTATTTCATCTCCATATTTTTATCTGAACCCCAGGCTCAGCCCAGAGAGGGGCCTAGTGGTCCCCACCCCTCACCTTCCTGCCTGTCAAATAGAGTTCTTGGGGACCTGCCAGTGTTTGCATTCCAGACTGCTCCACGGTGGCCTCCATTGCATGCTCAGAAAGGTCACAGAAGGCGCTGCAAAGATTGACGCTGTTAGCATGCTCACCCCCCTCAGGCTTTCCCAGGACATGCGATGGAAACCTGGCAAAAGGAGCCGGGACTGTGGTGGAAATGGGGGGCTCTCTAGCCCTCCCCTCCCAGACTGATGTCTATTGGCCTGGCCTGGTTTCTGTTAGGCACTGAGTCAGACATCTTGCCCTCCTGGGTCTGCCGCCCACTACTGCTTTCTCGACACCCACTTGTCAGTCTTGGGTCCAGCCCTCTCTCTCCATGGACTCCTTCCTCCTCCCTCCCTCCCCCCCTCTCCATTTTCCCTCCTCCTGCATGGACTTTAACAGCAGCCCTGTTTCATTACCAAGAATCAAAGTTCAAATATGGTGAGGGTGGGAGCCAGGAGGGTAGGAAAGGAAGTAGTGACAGGAGACAGCCTAAATGGCATTTCTGAGCCCCACGGCCCCAAAGGACAGGGGTCCTGGCTATGTGTCCCCTCAGCCCCTGCTGACCTGGCCATGTCAGCTTAGAGGCTGGCCACTTCTGCTGCCTTTAATGCTCTGCCAACATGGTTGCCTGATGCTTCCCCAGTGGTTCCTTATGGCCCCAAAGCCACTTCCTTTCTCCCCTCCCTCATCTGCCAGTATCAGTCTGTGTTCTGGTTCCCATCCAGGAAGAAACAGCCCATCTCACGCTGGCCTCTGTCAAGCCACCATGTCCGAGTGAACAAAATGTTTCAATTAAAAACAACAACCAAAAAAAGGTGTAGTGGCTGGCTGGGAAGCTCTGGGCTAGATGGCAGGGTTCCAGAACAGGCTGGGGGCAGTGTGGGTCAGGCAGAGAGAGCATCTGGGACCTATTAGCCTGAGGGACAGGAGGATGTCATCCAGAACTTGCAACTGTCTCGAAAGCATAGGAAGGGCAAGTATTCCTGTTTGGGGGACAAGTATACAACAATGACAAAAATTGAGCCTCTGGGAATTTTTGGATGGTTTCGCCATATGAGCGGCAAGCACACCGAGCCTATCCGGTCTGACAGGGCCTCCGCTCCCCATTTGCAGGATTGGGGATGCTCCTGATGATACAGGGTGGAGCTCTGGTGGTAGATGTGCCGGTTGCTAGTTAGCCAGGAGTGCTCCAACCCAAGTCTAGTGTGACCCTCACTCGGAGAGAGGTCCACATCCCGCACAGACACCTGCAGCTCTCTGTAGGACTTCTCTACAGCTCCCAGGGGACTCTGCCCTGCTAGTAGGCTCTCGCCACCCCACAACCTGTCACTCACAGGGACTTCAGTGAGGAAGAAGTCCCTGTGTTGATGCAGTGAGCCAGGATGATGTGTGTGTGTGTGTATGGTGTGGGGAGGGGTTAGTGATGACTGTCACCTTGACAGGGTCTAGAGTCACTGTCACCTAGGGGACCAACCTCTGAGTGTGTCTATGAGGACATTTCCGGGTTCATCCTCTGCTTCCTGACTACAGACACAATGTTTCCACGGATAGGAACAGCCCCCCCCCCCAGCTGCCATGCCTTCTTTACCATGATGGATGCTGGCCTCAAACTTTGAGCCAAAATAAATTTTACCTTCCTGAAGTTGCTTCAGCCAGGTATTTTGTCACAGCAACAAGAAAAACAACTAGTGCTGTATGGGAGCATGAGAGGACTCAGCAGGTAAAGTCTCTTTCTGCCAATCCTGACCACCTGAGTTTGACTCCCAGGACCCATATGGCAGATGGAGAGAACTGATGGGAATAGACTTGGAGACCTGGCAGGATAAGGCTTTGTCCAGACAAACACTTCTATCCGTGGGGAGGACTACCATCATTCTGACAGATCCTCTGGAAGATCATGAGAGATCCAACTGTTGCCTTCCTTCCTCTCATCTCACAGCCTGGTGCTGTGTTCAATAAACAGTGGGTGGCCAGCTGGCACTTCTGCAAAGTGTAGTAGTGCTATCATGTCACATGCCTGTGCTCAGTCAGTCATGTGACTCATGACTGGTCCATCTTTCTGGCCTGACACTCAAAGGACAGCCACTTCAAAGCATCATCAATTCCACTTTAGACAGATTAGGGACTGAGGGACCCAGGAGGTTGGTGAGAATGTGAACAGAACCCAGCCTCCTGACTCCTCATCCAGGACCCTCCTAACAAAATGCTCCATCTCTCAAGACCGGGGGAGGGGACTCTGTGAGCAACTGTGTTCATCACCCCATCTGAAGGAGGAGGAAGACACCTGTACCTGCTGCAGGCCATAGGGACACAAGGGAAAAGGAGGCAGATAGTCCCAGATCACCCAGGATGGAGTGAGCTGCAACACCATGCCCAGAGACCATTGACAGTAGATACCCAGAGTAGAAACCTTCTGTCTAAGACCTTCTTTCTCATACCTGTCACCGGCCACCGTGGCCTCTTTGGGCAAGGCAGTCTTGCCTCTTTTAAATAGACAAACAGAAGCAGACCCTGTATGAAACTTGGGACAGCCAGAATTCTGAGTGACCTTTCTTCAATAAATTCTGCACCAAGTGGCAGCTATATAAAGATGAAGAACACACAGGCATGCTCTTTGAGGAAGGAAAACCGCATCAAACAACAACCACCCCACACATTATCTAAAGGCCTGATGTTAGCTAAGCTCTGGTGACAAAGAGACAAATAACTCATTTCCTCCTGCTGAGAAGTTAGAGTATCCTATGTGAGAGACCTGGAGAACAGCCAGAGAGCCCTGATGAATGTGAGGAGTCTAAAGAAAGCCTGTGGTAGGAAGGGCCATTCATTCATTCATTCATTCATTCATTCACTCACTCACTCACTCCCTCACTCACTCACTTATTCAATAAACATTTAGCACTTCCTCAGGGCCCTTCATTCACTCATCAAATCACTAATTATTCTATCAATCGACACTGCACGGGGTGCATGAGGCATAGCACCACACACAAGGCCCTTGTGACATTGCATCATCTCTTGGGACAAGCGTGGGGTGGGAGTGACAGGCTCACCCCTTCCCTTCGACATCTGTGCATTCAAACCTGACAGCACATCACAATATTGTCATCAGGAGAGTCCATGCTGGAGCACTGTGCAATCAAGTTAAAAGAAGCAAAAAGGTAAAATAAAGATTTTATTGTGTTTGGAGAAAGTTGGGCTGCCTCTGCTCATCCACTGGGGGTTAAGCAACTTGTCTAAGGTGCTCCCATGACCTTAGGCACACCTGGGCTTTTGTTTGTTTGCTCTCCATGGAGTCCTGGAGCTCACCACTATATAGACCAAGATAGCCTCAAACTCACAGATTCTCCTGCCTCTACCTCCCAAATGCTGGGATTAAAGGCATGCATGACCATATCTGACCTGACTTGCAGTTCTTAGTCTGTTTTTTTTAGGCTTTAAACTCTCCACTGCCTGCCTAGCTTTGAACCTGGCCTCTGAGAACTCCATGTTTTCCATGCTGTAATCAGAAGGTCCTTGAGTGTGGAAGGGTCTGTCTATTTATCCCCTCTCCAAATCTGGTCCTGGTCTTAGGCAGAGCCAGTACAGTCACAGTGTGCTATGAATTCAAGGTCACCAGAGCCATGTTCTGATACTGCCTGACTGTTGGGCTTCCAGAAGTTGTGGTCTGAATCCTGCTCCACACCTCCTACTGTCAGCCTGTCTCTACCAGGACAAATACTGGGCATCCCAGACTCTCCAAGGACCTTGAGTTGTTTACAATATCAGTCATACTCTGCTTGCAGAGTGGGAACTACTCAACTAGGCTATCTTTACTTTCAAGAGACAGCTGGCCATGTCTGGAGACCCCAATATAGGGAACCCTGATAGGGAGGACTGAGGCCAATTTCTGGGTAGAGCATCTGGATTGGTTGTCCCAGGTAGATGCTGGGGAAAACATGCTTTATGGTTGACACAATGAACCCTGGTCTATGCATGAAGAACCTCTGGCCATAGCCTGAGGGAGGTTTACAGCTCATAAAGCCCAGAACAGGTAGAGCTCTGGGGGATGGCATGGAGTTTTAGAAAATCTGGCAACTGCTGAAAATCAGCACATTCAGTCTCCCACGAGCCAGCATCCACAGCTCTCCTTAGCTTTGCACTTCGGAACCTCATACTTGACAGCTGAAAACTGGCCACAGTAGGAATTCACATTATAGAAACTGGTAAAAACATAAAGCAGGCCCTTTCCCACCCCACAAACCAGTTGTTACACATCTGTAGCAGCCCACAGGTCAGATCTGTCATGCTTTCTTCAGTCCCAAACATTTCCAGTCATTCCAGGTGAAAGTGAGTGCTAGGGCTTGGGAGACGTGGGCAGCAGGTGCAGCATCTGCCTCTCCCCCTCAGGCTTTCTTTCTGGACTGTAGAAAACAGTCCTCGAAGCAAAATGGCCAGCCTCAGGTTGGCTATGTCTGCTTGCAAAGGCTTCTCACAGTCAAGTGGGCTGACTATTGACATCCCCTCCTAGGAGGAAAAGATGAGGAGACTCCCGTTCATGGACTCTCATCCTAGACGCCAGCTGTGACCTGTGTGCAGTTCTATCCTATTGCACAGCCTTGAGTGCTGGAGTATTTAGGCTGAAGAAAGTTAAGGGAAAGGACTTCCCATCTATCTAGCTAAGGGGAAGCCACCGTTCATATTAGATAAAGTCTGTTCCATGTGGCTGCTTTGGGGTCATTCAAGTTCCTGCCAGTAATTCTTTACCATGCTGTATGTAAACCCAATAAACTAATTGGTTCCCCAGGAAGATCTTTAATAGACTCATACTTGTCTCTGGGACCTTCTGAGGGGAGGGGAAATATGTATTTCCAGAGAAAGAATTCTTTAAACATACACTTTTGTACTCACAGTACATTACTGATCAATTGTGGCAGCTTGAGTAAGAATGCCCCTCCATAGCTCATACATTTGCATGCTTAGTCTTCAGGGAGTGGCACTGCTTAGAAAGATTAGGAGGCATGCCCTTGTTGGAGGAAG